ATGCTGTATTGCTGTTTAGGCACTGGAGGGGCATACGAAAAGCAAAATTACGTGTCTTCCCTTGTCTCTTACAGAATAAATCGACCAGTACCCCAACTTCTCCGGGGCCCCGAACTCATTCAACTCCCTCTATCCCGGTGCTGACAGCAGGCCAGAGTGGGCTCTATAGCCCCCAGTACATTTCTTACATACCTCAGATCCATATGGGACCAGCTGTTCAGGTAAGAGAGACTGAGCCAGGTCTGGAGTAAGGCTCAGTTGGGCTGGGGAGGACCAGATGAGGTCTGTTCTGGGCATTTGTGAGCAAGGTATTCAGCTTCATCTGTGTTCTTGTCCCTAGGCACCTCAGATGTATCCATATCCTGTATCCAACTCTGTGCCTGGACAGCAGGGCAAGTACCGGGGAGCAAAAGGTGAGTGGAGTTCGCAGGCTGGTTGGTGGGGCTGCCCCATTCATTGCCTCCAGATGGAGCTTGAGCGTGGCACTCTTTCCCATACCCCAGGCTCCCTGCCCCCCCAGCGCTCGGACCAACACCAGCCAGCCTCAGCCCCTCCGATGATGCAGGCCGCCGCTGCTGCTGGCCCACCTCTGGTGGCTGCCACACCTTACTCTTCCTACATCCCTTACACCCCGCAGCAGTTCCCAGGCCAGCCTGCCATGATGCAGCCCATGGCCCACTACCCTTCGCAGGTGACCGAGGCACAGGGAGGATGTGGGGGTGGGGTGGGGAACAGAGCTAAAGATCACATCTGTCCATCATCCAGACTCAGTTAGCTGAGAGAGGCCAGCAATGTTCTGGGTGTCAGACTTGGGCTTCAGTCCTCACTGGGGTAGGACCTGTAGCAAGGTCTGCTGTTCTTTGTAGTACAGATAAAATAGTACCTCCTTGTTGGGGTCACTGAATGTTACAAAGGAGTGGTTGTGACAAGGCCAGAATTGTGCTGTACCCGGGTTCTCAGGTGGCAGGATGTGCTGACCACTTCTCTCTTGCCCCTCCAGCCGGTGTTTGCCCCCATGCTTCAAAGCAACCCACGCATGCTGACTTCGGGGAGTCATCCCCAGGCCATTGTGTCGTCCTCCACTCCTCAGTACCCTTCTGCAGAGCAGCCCACCCCCCAAGCCCTCTATGGTGAGTTCTGTGTCCTTCTTGGACTGTGCTCCTTAGATGCCTCCAGTGTGCTTAGCCCTGATTCTCTCCCTCTTTCCTGCTGTAGCCACTGTTCACCAGTCCTATCCACACCATGCCACGCAGCTCCATGCCCACCAGCCGCAGCCGGCCACCACACCTACTGGGAGCCAGCCGCAGTCCCAGCATGCGGCCCCCAGTCCCGTCCAGGTGCCTGCCCTGGGAGATCCCGAGTGGTCGGGGCAGAAGGGGGTAGCTGGAAGAGGGGGTTGGAGCCCCAGGGGAGGTTCAGGGTCAGTGGGTGGTAGCCCTGGCACCTGAGGAGCGGGGTGGCACTCACCCTTCCCCTCCCCCTAACAGCACCAGGCGGGGCAGGCCCCACACCTGGGCAGTGGACAGCCACAGCAGAATCTGTACCACCCAGGGGCCCTGACAGGCACGCCGCCTTCTCTGCCACCGGGACCTTCTGCCCAGTCCCCTCAGAGCAGCTTCCCCCAACCAGCCGCTGTGTATGCCATCCATGCCCACCAGCAGCTGCCCCACGGCTTCACCAACATGGCCCATGTTACCCAGGTAAGAACCCAAGGAACTTATTTCCTATGCTTCTGTTTTGCTGTCCGGACTTAAGACCCAGGCCTGTCCTGTTCTTCAATCCTTGGTGTTCCTTTCCTGATTGCTCTTAACACCGGCATTCTCAGAGCCCATGTCTAGCTTCTGGGTTGCTCACAGCTGTTTTCATTCTCTACAGGCCCATGTCCAAACTGGAATCACAGCAGCCCCGCCCCCTCACCCTGGGGCTCCCCACCCGCCCCAGGTGATGCTGCTGCACCCACCCCAGAGCCATGGGGGCCCCCCCCAAGGCGCGGTGCCCCAGAGTGGGGTGCCTGCACTCTCAGCTTCCACACCCTCACCCTATCCCTACATCGGACACCCCCAAGGTGAGCAGCCTGGCCAGGCGCCTGGATTTCCAGGAGGAGCCGATGACAGGATTCGTGAGTTCTCGTTAGCTGGGGGAATTTGGCATGGAAGAGCTGATGGGCTGCAGGTGGGGCAGGATGCACGGGTTCTGGGAGGGGAGTGAGGGGTCTTGGAGGCAGGGCTGTCCCACAGGGCGCCCGCCGACCTGCACCTGTCTGTGAAGTATGTAGGGTGGGCAGAAGCCACAGTCGCCGCCGCCAGGGGCTTGCTCCTGGCTCTGTCCTTTGCTTCCCTCCGTCCTCGCTCAGTTGTGATCCAGCAGCCCCCCTCCCCACTGCCTCCCCAGCTCTCAGTGACCCCGACTGTCTCCTGACTTAGCCGAGGTAAGGTCAGCGCAGCAGACAGGGCCAGGCTGGGGTGTGGGGGGCTGAGCTGGGCACATGAGTAAGGGCTCTGGCTCACTGGGAAACAGCGATTGATCTGTGCTTCTGACAGCCCCATGAGACACCTTGAGGAGGCCGCTCCTACCCAAACACTCCCCCCACACCCCACACTGGACGGCATTGGATGAAGGGACAGCTGCTTGGGTTCTAATGCTCCTGCTCTCTTCTCTTTCCCCTCCAACCAGTTCAATCTCATCCCTCCCAGCAGCTCCCCTTCCACCCCCGGGGAACTGAAGATTGTCCTGGCCGCGACCTGAGACCTCCATGAGTGGAGGGAAGAGTGATCTATGTCTCTTCCCCCAAGCAGCTCGGACCAGTCCCAGCTCCCCAATCCCCCCTTTCCCCTGGGGGAGCTGGGGAATTCCTGCCAAGCACCTTGAAGGGGAGGGGCCTCAAATGGGCAGGGCCAGGGTCCAGCGGGGGTGGGGGGGTTCCTGCTCTGCCCCTGCCCATCCCCACCCCATCTTGCCCTCCCATCCTCTCATCTATCCCCCGCTGGAGACGGAAGATCTTTTATTTTCTATTATTTATAACCTCAGACTTGGGCCCCCTGTTTCTTTCTTTCCCATTAACTTGAAGTGACCTGTGTGAGAGACAGACAGACAGATGCCCCACAAGGATGGTTGAACAAGGACTTTTACTTTTTATTACATAAAAAATAATTAAAAAAAAATTAAAAAAAAATAAAATTTTAAACTAACTTAACCTGCCTGTGGTTTCCTCTGGAGAACAGAGTGAGATGGTAGTTGTGAAGTCTTCGGAGGACTGAGGTGGCCCCCAGCAGTGGGGAGAATGTGGCAGTACGGTCTGAGGATGCTTGTCCTGTCACTGCCACGGGTCACCCAGCTTCCCAGTGGCTTTATTCTCGGATGCTGGCCTCATCCTGAGGTATGATTTCAAGTTTTTATTGCTAGTGTGAGTACTTATGAATTTCATCTACCTCTGCACTGAAAAGTGGTTTTGGCTGCTGGAAACAGCCTACAGGGTGCATAGCTGGGAGGTGTGGTGTGTTGGGTGTTGTGAAGATGAGCCCACTGGCAGAAGAGGGGAGATGGCTGGGTTGAGGAGCCTGGTTTAGGGGAGCAAGAAACTAAACCAGGGCCTAAATGGCACAAAAGAGCTAGGTTTGGGAATGTGGAAGTGATAGGTTGCAGAAGTGTTTGGTTATTCCCAAGGAAACAGGTTGCAATTTTTACTGTGTCCTGGCCTCGGTTTTCTTCTTTTAAGTGAACATCATTTTGCCCTTAGAGCATCAAGGGGACAGGGCTGGTATTCATGGGTAGGTAGAGGTGTTTCAGCTGAGACCAAAGCCAGAGAAGATGGGGCTGAAAGCAGGGCAGGAAAAGTAAAGGTTGCATCACATCACTGGGAAGAGATCCAAGGTGAGTCTGAAAACATAATTGGTGGCCGTGATGTGGGAGGGAGAGGGTATATACAGATAGGGGAAAACAAATGTGCAGGGTTGGGGTCCCCAGCGGAAGAGCTCAGGGGCTGGCACTAGGGGCAAGGGGGCAGCAGGAAAGTCACCTGGGGTCAGGATGGCTCAGGTGCAGATGGGACTGCAGTGCTTTTGGGTGGCCTTGAGGCTCACAGGAAGGTCCCTGCCTTCATGCAGACAGAAGTCCCACAAAACTTCGGCTCACCTCAGAAGCTGAGGAAGGAGAGTAAAGCAAACCTGCGCTATTGCTGGATAGTCTTTTCTGAAGCTTTTGTCCTTTGTTTAGCCCCCACCTCTCTGTGCTGTAAAGTCACAGATTTCAGTTGTGACTCAAAACAGCTCTTGGGTTGGGCCTAAGAGCCTCCCCTTTCTGGGTGGCTGGTCAGTGCTGAATATGCTCATTTGTCAGGAAGTAAGGTTGAAAGGGGTGCCCTGCCCTTTAATCCCTGCTGAAAGTTAAGCTTTTTTGTTTTTGTTTGGGGTCAGCATCCTGGCCAATCATTTCAAGTTTTAAATAGATACTCAGCATTTTATTCCCATCCTTACTTTAATTTTAAATCTCAGTACATGTTCAAAATGAAACCTTCACTTTATTATTTCTCAATTCCGTGTCTGAAATGGTAGGGGGGATAACCTACACAGACTTACCAGGTTCCTCCTTTTAAATGCAGGGTGTTGGTTCTAGCAGTGAGCTACAGTTCCCACTGTCCTAAAGCTTAGACAAGGGTAGGTAGATGTGAACAGCCTCAGTAACTACTACGAGAGGAGAGGTGGGCTTGGCACCTCAGCTGAACACGCGCTGGCTCCAAAGGATAAGTCCCCAGTGTCTCCCATAGGACAGCCAACAATCCAACTACAGTATTTTGCTAGGCAGCCACAACTAACTTCAATAGACCAACTTTGCTCCTTTTCTCAAGTCATTCATAATAGTTGTGACAGCATTAAGACACGAGCTTTTCCAAACTACCAGAGATGAATTGAGGGATCTCACAAGCTCACATGTCCCCAGCTCCATGTTTAAGTTGGAGAGGATGGGGGAGGGAGAAACAAAGGACACAAAACACACAATGTCCCTCACTATTCACAGAACAGTTTATTGACCTACCTCACCTGGCAGGCCCTGGGGCCCCTCCTGACCAGGGAAGGGTCAGTCTAGCTGCACTGCTGGGCTGCTCTGGGGAGGGAGCATCAGAGCTAGGAGAGAATGCTGGGCAGTGCGGCCTTCCAACAATAGAGCCAGAGCAGAGGCCAGACTCAACTCCACTTGAGGTTCTTGTCTTCCTCAGTCATGGCTGGTGTCTCGGTGACCAGGCCTGTGCCAATGGTCCGGTTGCCATCTCGCAGGGTGAAACGCTGGCCTTTCTCTAAGATCATGGGCTGCCTCAGGATTAGGCTGAGCTTCAAGTCCTCCCCGGGCATAGCAAGCTCCTGGTGGGGGCAGAGACAGGGTTCATGCATGGCCCTCAGGACACCTTCCCAACTATTTGCTGCCTACTAGAGTTGAAAGTTACAGAAATGTTAACTCAATTGACTTTAAATTAAAAATTTTAAAGAGTTCTAGGAAATGCAGCAGGGCGGTGGGGGGTGTGTGTGTCTTTCTGGGGACAGCTTCACCCCAGCTGCCAGGCAGATACAAACAGCATATATGGTGACAGAAAAGGACAAGGTGACCAGTGTTCCTAAGGTTCCTTCTTGAAAGTCCAGAAAACTTTGGGTCATGCAGGTTTCTTAGTCACAAGACTTTTCTGAGCCATTATGTGTAGTGGAACTCTCAACAGGGAGAATCCTTTTCTGGAAGATCTTTGTACAGATAAATAAATGATAGGCCATGCTAAGTTTTTCACTGGCCCAGGGAATACTGGGTGGAGACTCTCACTCTAAACCCACCCAGCCACCTTTCCATCACTGGCTTTATACCAATAATCAAGGAAAAGTCACCCATGTTGTCACATAATTGGAACTGTGAGTAGGTAGAGCTGATACGAAGAGTGTCTCTTCTATTTCTTCACATTCCCTATACCCACCATACCTTCCCTGGTGGCAAGATAACCCGACAGGCCATGTCCCAAGTCAGGGAGAACATGACAGGCATGAAGTGGGACACAAAAGGCTTATGGCGGCCACCCTCTTCTTTGCTGAGGATATAAACCTGCAAGAGAGAGAACAAGGGTGAAGCTATGCTTGATTGGGAAGACTGCCTCTGCATGGGGCAGTTTGGCTCAGCACTGCCCATCATCATTGGGAGCCCTCCCTCACCTGTGCCTCCACCTTCTGGTGGGGCTGGATGGATCCTGGCTTAGCCATGACCAGGCCACGCCTCAGATCCTCCCGCTTCAAGCCTCGGACCAGGGCCCCCAGGTTGTCGCCTGCCTCTGCCCTCTCCAGACTCTTGTGGAACATTTCAATACCTAGGAGGGAGGCGAGACAAGGGAGGAGGGTCTAGGGCAGAGGGAAGGCACAAAGGATCTGCAAGGGAAATCCTGGAGCCAGCCCCTGGGTCCCAAGTCCTCTTTCCCATACCTGTTACCACAGTGCGAATGTTCTTGCTATGTCCCAGGAACTCACACTCATCTCCCTTCTTCAAAATGCCACGCTCTAGTGTACCTGTCACCACCGTGCCCCGGCCTGGAAAAAAATAGGACATCAGGTATTCTGGGTCAGGCTATAGCTAGAGAAGGGTGCAAGTGAAGAGGGTCCTCACCAGGAATAGAGTAAATGGACTCTACAGGCAGCAGGAAAGGCTTCTCCAGGTCTCGGTTGGGTACTGGGATGTAAGTGTCCACAGCATCCAGCAGCTTCTGCACAGACTTCACGCCTAGCTCGGGGTCTCGTTGCTATGAGGGGAAATGACAGGATTCTGAAATTGTCATTCTGTTCCTCTTACTAAGAGATGCTCCCCAGATTCAAAGCAAAGCTCTGGACACCCATCCAGCCCCATCCGATGCCAGTAACAGCCCTTGCCTGACCCCCTCCCCCCCTCACCTCAAGGGCACAGAGGGCAGAGCCTACGATGACGGGGGTCTCTTCCCCTTTGTAGCCAAACTCAGTGAGCAGTTCCCGGATCTCCAGCTCAACCAGCTCCACCATCTCAGGGTCTTGGACAGCATCTGCTTTGTTTACGTACACCACAACATGCTCTACTCCAATCTGTGGATGGCAAAGAGAGAGAAATAGTGTCCTGAATGGACCCAATTTCCCACTCTCTCTTTCCACCCCTCCCCAGGCTCTTGAGTACCTGTCTGGCCAGAAGCAGATGCTCTCGGGTCTGGGGCATAGGGCCGTCATTGGCCGCCACCACCAGGATGCAGCCATCGAGGGGGGCGGTGCCTGTGATCATATTCTGAGTAGGAGGAGAGGAAACAGCCCAGTTCAAGGACCCCCCCCACCTCAGCTCCAAATCTGTCTAACCAAACACAGCAGTTAGGAATGGAGGCCCACCTTTTTCTGCTATCTCCTTCTACCCACTTTGAGTGGCTATGCCCAGAAATCCAGGACCTCAACCCATGCACCCTGAATATCCTAACCTCTCCACAAGTCCAACATTTTTTCTGGTGGGAGACAGCCCCTGACCCTGTACCCAGCAACACTCTCACCTTAACGTAATCTGCATGACCTGGGCAATCTGTGTGGGCATAGTGGCGGGCAGCAGTGCTGTACTCGACGTGAGCCGCATTAATTGTGATTCCTCGGGCTCGTTCTTCAGGGGCATTGTCAATCTCTTCATATTTCTTAAACTTGGCTCCACCTCCCTCGGCTAAAACTAAGGGGAAGGAGAAGAATAAGCCTCTCAGATGATGTACCAGAGATAAGGAGGCAAGGCTTAAGCCACACCGAGTCCCTCCCACCTACTATACAAAAGGACAGTCGGCCAGAATAATGTGTCCATGATACACGTCCTCCCTCAGCTCCTGCAGTGGGTGTAACTCGGGTCAGAGGGAAATGTAACAAAGCCTCATGGTCCAGCCCTGCGACTTCTCTAGGGTAAAGCCTCTGCCTACAGGGCGCTGGCCACAAGAGAGAGGCCATTCCAGCTCCTCAGCTTATGCATCACAAAATCTTTCACGTTCAGGAGAAATGTGTTTCCCGCATCTTGCAATCCACTGCCTGCCAGGATTCTGGCTCCTGGGGCCACAACACCTCCAGCAGCACCTCCCCAGCTCCAGGTCTCTCCTGCAGGGCGGGCGCTTCCGGACGCCCCCGACCCATCCCCGCTTACTCTTGGTGATGGCCGCGGTCAGTGTGGTCTTGCCGTGGTCCACATGGCCGATGGTGCCCACGTTCACATGGGGCTTGTCGCGCACATAGGTCTTCTTGGCCTCCACGGCCAGGCCACGGCATAAGCGGGGCAGGGCTGGGGCCTTCAGCGGCCGCAACAGGCCCTGCAGCAGGGAGGTCGGGCCGGTGCAGAGACCTGCCGGGGCAGAGGCTGGGAGTCAGGGCGCGGGTCCGATCCCGGCCGCTCGCGACAACCCCCACGTGGCCCCGCGCCGCCATGGCCTTCCCCGCCCCCTCACCGCTCAAGAGGGGCGTCGCGCGCAGCAGGGTGGTGGCCGCCATGGTGGTCGTACTCGAGCCCCGAGTGCCGGGTCCCCGGCGCCCGCGCGTGCTGAAAGGGAAGGGCACGGGGGACTGGAGGTCACTTCCGGCGGAAGTGAAGGCCCAGAGGACAAGTCTGGGTCTCTCTAGCCTCCAGTCTTCATGGCCATCATACGACTTCCGGGCGTAGGACCCAAGACAAGACCGGGAAGGTGTCGGTGTCTCGGGGGCGGGGAGGGAGGGAGGTTTCCGCAGCGCCCTCGGGCCTCGCGTGCTGATGAGGGCAAAGCGGTTGTCTCTGGCGGCGACGTGGAGCGACCGGTCTCTCCCCAGCGCCGCGGAGGCTCACGGGCGTTGTAGTTCCCGGGGCGGCGCGCTGTGTTTGCGCGGGGCCTGGGAGTCAGGTAGGGCTAGGCGGGGTCGGGAGCGAGGGGGCCGGCCTCCAGGAGGCCGAGGCGGCGGCCCGGGCCCGGGCTGCTCGGGGGCGTTCTGGCCCAGAGCCCCCGGGAGGCCGACGCACCGCGCGGGTCTGGCGAGAGATCTGGCGGCCGTTGAGCCGCCGCTGGAGGTAGGATCAGGCCCTGCGGCCAGGCTGAGACACACGGGCCTGGAAGCCTTTCGCGGGTAGCGCGCAAATGTGACCCATCTCTCCACTGAGCCTTTGTTTTCTTATCTGTAAAATGGGAACCGTAGTATCTATCTACTTCGTGGGGAGATTCTGACATCTGGCCTGAGAGGAAATGAGCTGGACAGGAGGCAGCAATGAGCCCAGGGGCCTCCGGGCCCCACAGTCCTTGACCCTCAAATACCCGCCCTCGGGCTCACAACCTGCTGGGAGAGACAACTTGGCCGTCCACCCCTGGGGCCCCCCAGCAGGCCAGAGACTAATTCCCTTGATCGCCTACCCAGTTAACGCAGATGGTACCGAGGTGAGGGACCCGCCGCAGGTGCCCATACCCGCAGCCTGAGTCTTTCTTGTTCCTGCAGTGTCCCCAGCACCAAACATAGGGTGGGGCACCCAGTGAGCGCTCAGGAAACTTCTGTTGACTGAACAAGTGAGTGCAAACCCCGCAAATGACCATTAACTTTCACCTCCATCATCTCATCACCCTGGGATGAGAATGGCAGTGCTTAACCCAAATGGTGTTTCCCAAACTCATCAGATCCTAAGACTCCACCCATGGTTTTTGTTTCAAATAGATCCCCTAATTCCTCCCTTGAAGATTATAGTTCAGGAGGGTCTGAGCACAGACAGGGAAACTGTATTTATTATACCACACACTGTTTCCCACGCTCCAAAACTCAGAGCTAGAGCTTTGTGTGTGCATCAGGCATTGTGCAAATGCTTCGTATAGGCTCACATTCAAAGCACCCATGTTGCCCTGTGTGATTGGAGCCATTAATTCCCCCATTTTGCAGGTGAGAAACTGAGCATCAGGGTGATTTAGGAACTCAATACAGCTAACCTCCAAAAAAGTGTGCACTTAACCACTGCCTGGTACTGTCATTGAGCTGTCAAACTACTGCTCAGATAAAATGAACTTGCTAAGACTTCTGTCCTCCTGGCCCTCCAACCCGTCAACTCTGCTTCGGAAGGGCTGGTGCCTAACTAAAGGCTTTCTTTGTCTTTATCCTGTACCTTTGTCACTGCACTCCTAGGGATTTCTTCTAAAACACTACCTGCCACTATCAGAATGTAAGATTTTGGGGGGAGGGAGTGGCACTTGAACAAATGCTTTCTGTTTTAGTGGTACTGTGTTTATTTGAATGTGTGTTAATTTGGAGGAAAAAAACTGGGATGGCAAATACTGAGCTTAAAAAATGAGTCAATTTTTTAAAAAATGAGTCAATTTAAGAAACTATGTGGTAGATGATATGGGTAGTGTAACTATATGGCAGATTTGGGGGGCAGATGGTATACGGATGACTGAAATTTGAGAAACATAGCAGCCGCTGTAAAGGAGTCCAAAGGGAGAAGACTTTTTGTTGTTGATGAGCTGTTGACTGTGGCATCCTCTGTAATGGTTGGATTCCTTGATTTACGAGTAACAGAATTTACATTGGCTGGTTTACACAGAAGAAGGATTTGTTTAACTGTTTGAGTTAGCTTATAGAATTGCGGGACAGGCTAGAAAAATTACTACCAAGCCACAGAACTGAATCTGACTTGGCAAGAGAAGCGCTGCTCCCGCTACTGCCACCAAACCCAAAAGGTCAGGACTTTGACTTATCTGTGCCACCTACTTGCTCATGGCACCGAAGCCACATCTACATCAAGAAAATGACCTTCCCTTCCGACCCTCCTGCCCCCCAAAGTCAGGCACATTCAAAACCTCCTTTGAATGCGCCTGATTGGAGAAGTCTAGATCATCCTGTGTCTGTGTCAGAGGAGTCTGAGAGAGCTGGCCTCACTTTGATGCTGGAGAACAAGAGTGCTAGAATGGAATTTCCCCAGATGTCAGCCATGCCCAGTGAACCCAGATGTCCTGCATGTGGATGTGGGAGCATGAATCTGGCATAGCCACTAGATGACATAGTAATAGAGGGGGCTCAGAGTTGCAGAGACAAGGGAGCCAACCACCTGGAAAAATGCTTGTGAGCAGTGCCAAGTGAAGAAGGAAGGCTGACTGCTGGAGAAACATAGCATGTGGGGGTTGGCGAGGGTTAGGGTTAGAGGAAGAGTGGGGAGTGAGGGGATGAACAGCAAAGGAAATGGGAAAAGAATCAGGACTTTAGGAGGCTGTGAATTTGTTTAGAGAAACATTTTTCTCTTTCAGACGTGAGTTTTTGAGTGATTATAGTTAAAGACTTTTTTTGTGCAGAATCTTGAACTCTTTAAAAAGATACTTTTGGAAAAAAGAAAAGATACTCTTGAAATCAAATGGCAGATCACAGGCCAGGAGTCTGTGCGTTTGAGCTCCTGCTTAACGGCCATTTTTCCATCTTCCTATACACAGGGTCTCGAGTTTGCTCAAGGTGGCCCTTTTCCCAGTTCTGAGAATAAATCCTGACAGGTCTCGTCTACTTCTGGTGGTCCCATTCTCTTTGCCAGGGGCTTTGTTTAGGGTTGGGTGTGTGACTTTCTTGGGGCCGGTGATTGGTAAGAGGAGATCTGCTTTGGGGGGCTTCCAGGAAAGGGTCTCTCACTCTGAAGGAGACACCAAAGAGCTGGACTGCCTTCTAATTCTGGGTGTTGCTGGGTGGGTCTGGACGCACACTGGACCAAACCTGGAACTGCTCTACCCATCATATTTCCAGTCAGTGATGAAGCCGAAATCCAGAAGAGAGCAAAACAGGATTTTAGAAGACTGGACTCCTTGTGAAGAGGAATGTCATTATTTAAGCCAGACTGTGTCACAGTTTTCTGTGTGTATTCAAATACCTCCTAACAGATAATCTGTCTTACTGCACTTGATACCCTGAGACATGTTTCTTGGTTTCACTTGTATGAGACGGAGTGGCCTGAGTAGGGCAAGGAATGGATTTCCTTTCTCTCTGTATCCTCCGCTTGGCCACTGTAGGGCTCTGGTTGATTGCGCTTGAACTATTAATGAGCCTTCCAAACTAAAGGGTGCCACCATGTGGTGTGTATAGACCAAACAATCACGTCTAAAACAACCCTTCATTCTCTCCCAAGCTCTGCTTACACATCTGAATAAATGGTGCCACCTTTCTAACTTCCCCTCAACCCCAAAGTCTAACCCATTTACTCAGGCCTGCTGGTTTCATCTCCAAAATTATCTCGGATGTGACCATTTCTGTCTATCTCCACTGTCGACCCTGTGGTTCATTCTGGGATCATCTGTCACCTAGGTTAGTTCACAACCTCTACAGCTCCTGTTCTTCTCAATAGCTGGCAAATCCATCCTCCACCCAGTCCTCAAATCAGCCTTTAAAATGTGGATCAGAAGGGGCTCAGTTGTTACAGCATGCAAGTTTGTTTTGTTTTGTTTTTTCAGATTTTTTATTAGAGAGAGAGCAGGGGCAGGGAGGTGGAGCAGAAGGAGAGGGAGAAGCAGGCTCCGTGCTAAGGAGGGAGCCTGTTACAGGACTCAATCCCATGACTGGGATCCCATGACCTAAGCCAAAGGCAGATACTTAACCAACTGAGCCATCCAGGCACCCTCAGCATGTGACTCTTGGTCTTGAGAATGTGAGATCGAGGCCTGCCCATGTAGAGATAAGTAAATAAAATAAAAATAAAGATTGCCTTTCAAATTTAAATAAATTAATTAATGTGGATCAGAAATTAACCCTCCCCTTGTGACTCCTTACTATACTTAGAATAAAATCCCAATTCCTACTTTAAATGGGAAAATTGTATGGCAGATGAACTGTATCTCAATAAAGTTGTATAAAAATCAAACTCCCCCTGTGGCCCACCTCTTTGACTCCATCTAGTATGATTTTCCTCACTCCCAGCCACACCGGCCATCCTGTTCTGCAAACATCCCACCACTGTTTCTACCTCAGCCTTCCCTGTCCCTGTTGTGTTCTTCAATGTAGCTTTCCCCAGGGCTGTTTCTTTCACCATTCAGGTCTACCTCAGATACCACCTCTTCTGTCCAAAGTAGCTCTCAGTCATCCTCTTACCAATGGTCCTCTGTGATTTTCTCCATAGCACCTAAATGTCTAAAACTGTCTTAATAGTTTGCTTGTTGGTTGGTTTCTGGGGTTGTTGCTGTTCCCTGTCTCACCAGATCATGACAATCAGAGCTTTTTTTTGTTTAATTCTGCGAACAGTGCCTGACACTCAGGTGAAGAAGGATTTGTTGAAGCAGCTATGTGTTGAATTATTTCAGTTGAGCATTTATGCTGGGCTTATTAAGTGTCTGGTGTTTTCAATGGAAAGTAAGTCTTGTAATCACATTCATATTAAAAATAAACGTGAGCCCCTGTAACTCTTGAAGCCTCTGCTTTATAAAATTGGGAGGGAATGATGAAGTTAAATGTTATGATCTCTAAGGTTTCTTGCAGCTCTGACCTCTAAAGGGAGGGTGGGGTCTGGTGTAACTGGAATGAGTAGTAGGTTGGTCAACAACTTACTGGCAAATGGGGCACTAGGGCCCAGAGCTTTGTCCTCAGCAGACTTATTGGAAACTCAAGGGCATTCTTCACTCTTCCCCACCAGCCAGCCTCGGCAGTGCCTCCTCAGAGATCTCACTGGTTATTCTCCTTGCTGCTAACCCCACTGTACTGCCCTGGCCAGGTCAGCACCAGCCCCTCCTGGACCACAGCACTAGTCTCCTCTGCTTCCAGTCCCCACCCGACCCCCATACTGGCCCTGGATTTCCTTCCAAACACATAAATCTGATCACCACTACCCCGGTCACTCAGATGTGACTGAAGACATTCCATTTGGAAACACTTTGTGAATATCACACAAAAACAAAGGAGTAGAAGCCACTTTAGAGGTGGCCTAGGTGGGTTGGCCATCCAAGAAGACGCCACACTTTGAAGCCTGAAACAGAAGGATGAAGATTGGCACAAATAGGGGAAATGGTGTATGGAGTGAAGCTGGAGTATTTTAGGCTGTCAAAATGTCCTGAGTGAGCAGAGTATGATTTAGAGGGGCAGGACATCCTGACCAAAGCACCAAAGCTGAATTTGACATCCCAGAAAAGACGACATAATAAGAGAAATCCCCATCTCTTGCAATGGGGTAGGGTCAAGATGACCTCCAGAAGTATCCCATGAGCAACCACTTACCCTCCTGTCAGAGACCCTAGTTATTCTTTTTTAAGATTTTATTTATTCATGAGAGGAGAGGCAGAGACATAGGCAGAGGGAGGAGAAGCAGGCTCCATACAGGGAGCCCTATGCGAGACTCGATCCCCTGACTCCGGGATCACACGCTGAGCCGAAGGCAGACGCTCAATCACTGAGCCACCCAGGCATCTCCCTAGTTATCCTTTGAAGAGCCACTTTCTGCCGTGCTCAGCCCATCCCAATCTCAGATGAGTGGTCTGTGATCCAGTAATCTATCCCTTGTGATCATAAATACTGGTTCAGGGTTGGTATTCTAGTTTCAATACCAACTAGTGCACTGAAGTTCAGTTCTGGCACTAACTGCCCAAAGTTAACTCAGACCCCACAAGCTAAAGGGCTCAGAACTCCACAGACTGACCCCTTTCAGATGTGAGCTGCAGGTGGGGTTCCCCAGCCATCTTCGCTTCTGACCACCCTGCTACAGATCTGGGAGTTTCCCATGGGTTCTCCCCCCCCCGCCCAGGTGTGATAATTTGCTAGAACAACTCACAGAATGCAGGAAGATGCTATACTTATGATTACAGTTTTATAGTAGAGAATGCAAGTCAGGAACAGCCAAATGAAGAGAAGCATAGAGTGAGGTCTGGGAGACCTCGTTTCATTTCTTGGGCATGCTTGATTAAATCATTGCCATGTGACTGAATCTCTAGATCCTCCTCCCCTTCCCAGAGGTCCAGCTGCCTCAAAATCCCAAGCTTCTGGGGCGCCTAGCTGACTCAGGAGAACATGTGACTTTTGATCTCAGGGATTGTGAGTTCAAACCCCATTATAAGTGTAGAGATTAAGGGATGCCTGGGTAGCTCAGTGGTTGAGGTCTGCCTTTGGCTCAGGGCGTGATCCTGGGATCTGTGATGGAGTCCCATATTGGGTTCCCCACAGGGAGCCTGCTTCTTCCTCTGCTTATGTCTCTGCTTCTCTGTGTCTCTCGGGAATAAATCAATAAAATCTTTTTTTTTTTAATGTAGAGATTAAACAAACCTTTAAAAGAAATCCCAAACCTCTAATCATCAGGATAGGCTTTTTGGTGACCAACCCTCATCCTGACGCTATCTAGGGACTTACCATTAGTTATCTCATTAGCTAAAACTTGGGTGTGATCTAAGGGGCACTTCTTGGTACTACTTGGTAAATTCCAAGTATTTTAAAAGCTCTGTGCCAGGAAGCTAGGACAAAACCCAAATTCTTCATTATACCCGGTGACCCAGGCGGAGCTTATGAGAGTCAGTTCTGTTGCATTTGCCAGGGCTATTGGGAAAGCTCCGATCTTTTCCCACTACAATTGTTAAGCTAGTAGGATGTATGTTTGGAGCTGCTGGTAGCCATCTCGCTACCTACCAGGGGACAATCTGCCTAAGAATTGAGACAGTCTAGAGGGGAGCAGAGCTAAGAGAACAAGTTCAAATGGACATTATTTGAGCCTCTGGCTTCAGCCATGCCTGAAGTCATTCTACCTCTGATTTTTCAATTCTGTGAACCAGTAAGCTCCCTCTCGTTTCATATTTAAATTACTTTAACTTGGGAGTGTGTATGTGTGTGTGGTGGAGGGTTCCATTACCGGGAGCTAAAAGCATCCCATCACATCCCCTGTTCCTGAGGAAAAAGCGTTTCTCCCTTTTGTATCAATACCTTGGCTTAACATGGGTCTTGCATCCTATCCATCCTATCGTTTCCACCTTCCCCAAACCCTTCTTCTTCTATTACTGTCATTTCTACTGGCTCCTTTCCCTTTAGACTTTTTTTGTTTTTGAAAAGGTTTTTTTTTTTTTTTAAGATTTTATTTATTTATTCATGAGAGACACACTCAGAGAGAGAGGCAGAGACAGGCAGAGGGAGAAGCAGGCTCCATGCAGGGAGCCGGACCTGAGATCCCGGGTCTCCAGGATCAGGCCCTGGACTGAAGGTGGCGCTAAATCACTGAGCCACCCGGGCTGCCCATTTTTTGAAAAGCTTATTCGAGAGACACACAAAGAGAGGCGGAGACACAGGCAGAGGGAGAAGCAGGCTCCCTATGGGGAGCCGGATGCAGGACTCAATCCCAGCACCTTGGGATCACACCCTGAGCTGAAGGCAGATGTCAACCACTGAGCTTACCCAGGCATCCCTCTCTTTAGACTTTCCACATGATCAAGTCTCCCTGGGGACAGCTCTCAATATTCCTCCTCCCATTTCTTCACTTCCATTAATTCCTCAATCCACTACCATTTGGCTTCTGCTTCTCCCACTTACCTAAAATTACTGTCACCAAAGCCCCTATGCAGTCTTAGGTGATGAGGGATAGAAGTAGAAAATATTCACCTTTAGCCCGGAAGGCTGACCTAACCCCTGCATAGCCCTGACAAGGATCAACTACGTGCTGGCTGCTACATTCTTAAAGGGTCTTATGACTGTCTGTACATCTCACTGATAGTTAATATCCAACTGAGTGATAAGCACCAGAGAAATCTTGCAAAAGTAGTTACGAGTAGAAATTGGAAGAAAACATTTATGATCTAATACTCCCTACATGTCCCCTCCCCCTGAACACTAAGCATATAACCACCAGCTTCATAGGGCAAAATGCAGCTCTTTCTACCCACAGGTCTTTTTGGACCAAAAACACCTCAAGAATTCTTTCTCGACCATTCACCCATGGCCCCACATCATTAGTCATCAATGTTTTCCATAGGAGACAATGGCAGTGCCATGGATACCTTTCTAATCATTTGCTTGTGATGTATCTGACCAACTGTACACACACACACACACACACACACGGACACACACACTCTATATTTCCACACCCCCCGATCTTTGTTGTGTGGTTTCTCTTCCAACAGTTAGAATGTCCAGATTTTTTTCTTTTTTGGAGCAATGTCCCCAGGCCACTGGAGGCGTTGTCTTGATGAACTGATGTCTCTAGGAGTATTCCTTGGTCAACGGCTGAGGCATGTTGGTATATGAAAGGCCCTGCTCTGGACAAATCTGACAAATAACTTTCATCAAGCTCCTCTGCAAGATCAAGTTGAACTACTCTCTGCCTGAGATCATGTTTGTTTTTTCTCTCCTACCCTCTCCTGCTTCTCTCCTTACTGGTTTCTTCTAGTAGCATTGTTTGACTGAATCACTCACACAAAAATCCTCATCTCAAGGTCTGCTTCTGGGAAACCTGACCCAAGAGATCATCTGAGTACTTTTTACTCTTTCACTGCCTACCTAATAAATGTGGCTTGTTTTCCACAGCTAGGTCCTGGGTGCTATTCTCTATAGATATTGCCTGGACAAGCACTCATGTCCATAGCTTCAACTGCTCCTCACTTCTTATTATCACCAAACTGCTTTATGCAGCTCAAACTGTAGCTCCATCTCTGCTGGACAGCTCCACCTAGCTGTCCGCAGACACCCCTACACTAATAGTCATTAGCCACATGTGGCTATTTTAATTAAAACTTAAATTGTTCTCTAGTCTCACTAGCCACATTTCAAGTGCTCAACAGCTACTCAATAGATCCAGGCTATCACACTGGATAGTGCTGATACAGAGTATCCATCATGGCAGAAAGTTTTATTGGACAGCTTAGACACATTTCCAAACCTAACTCATCATCACCAGACCCTTGCTTTTCTGTATTCCTCAACTGTGTCCCTCTCCTGGAGACAGTGGGCAGAAACTACAGAGACTACAGAAACTAGAAACTAGAGAGAGAGGGTGTGGAAGGGTTTCAGGGATGAGGGAGGTGACCACAGAACTAGAGACTTTTCCATTGATATCTTCCTCTGAACTGGGAAGACGGATGGACGAAGATGGTGATGAGGACCTTAGCAAAGGCCACCTGTGAGCTGATGTTAGATTGCTTGGAACACTGGGGAGAGGTGGGGGACGAAGGCTGGATAGGCCAGAACTTGCCCTCCGCAAGGAAGTTTTCCAATTCCATCTGGCAGCCTCAGCCTTGACTAAACATCCTTGTGTGAGTCAGGGCATTTATTCATCCCCCGTCTCTTGTGTTCCAGGATGAGCATTTGATGGAAGCAAATCAGCTAAGGTCAGTTCTGGAAATTTTTTGGCAAATCTTGGAAAGGGGCACGTTCCTTCCACGTGAATTGCTAAGCTATTAGGAATTCAGTTTGGAGCCATGGAAAGCCATTTTGCCACGGAGATAGGCCTGCCTGCGAATGAAGCCAAATGCACAGGGAAGGCAGAGCTCAGAGAAAGTGAGCCACGGTTCCTCACATCTTTTGTCTCTTTTACTCGGCTGTTGCTGAGGAAGCTCGGTCTGTTCTTTTCAATGGTTTCAGCCAAGATTCCCCTCTTCCTTAGGCCAGTTGGAGGTGGGTCAGTGACAGACCTTACTGATCTTCATCATGCTTAGGATTTCAACGGCTCCCTCTCGCTTAACGATTCCCAGTGTCTGTAACTGGCCTCGCTGACTCTAGTGATCATGCTCCAGACCGAATGTCCACCGGCGCCCTGACGTCCCACACGCACGTCCGAAGGGATCCCCCTTGTTTCCGCCCTGTCTTCATTTCCCGCCTCAGATGGAATCTCCTAGACGTCTACTCCAGTCCCTCGGCTCCGAGAAGCCAAGGTCGTAAGTTCAGGCGCCGCCTCTTCGCGGGGCCTCACCCAAGGTCACTCGCGTCTTCCCTCGCCTGGCTCCTTGGGGGCGGTGTCCGCGAACCCCTCAGCCGCAGGGCCCGGCGCTCTAGGCGGCGGCGGCGGGCCTGCAAAGAGCCTCCTCAGCTCGCTGGTTTCCGGTAGCCGGTGGCCGCTCTAGCCCACAACAGGGCCTCGGGACTCGATCCCCTAGGCCGGCTTCCCTATGGCTGGCGCCTCTCCTTTGTGCCGAGTTTCCTCCGGGAGGGCTCCTGGTGGGAACCCCTTCCCACGGCCGCTTTTAGGGTCCCTTTCGGGGGCAACCGGAGAAGGCCCTGAGCCCACCGAGAGTCGCAACCTCGCAGCACTCGAAGGGCCGGCGCGGAACCGGAGGATGGCGGAAGTGAGTGTATAGCCGCCCTTCCCTCTCGCCGCCCTTCTCTATGGTCGCTTCCTTCGGTGACGGGAAAAGGGGTCCCGGCGCCTGCGTAGAGGCGGCCGGGGAGCTAGTCGCGGAGCGCGGGGGGAGGGGCAGGGAACGGGAGCCGCCGCCGCCGCCGGAGCAAACCGCGGGGACCGAGATGCAGGTGGGACCGGAACCGGAACCCCCCTCTTCAAGTACCTCTTCCCTCTCCGCGACCCGGCCCCGGCGCCTGAGAGGAGCCCTGGGTGGGGGCGGGCGTAGGGGGGCCAGAGGCGGGAGGGGCGCTCGGCCCCGCAGAGTGCAGCAGACGGGGCTGGTCCCGAGGCGTCTGCGGCCCCGGGGAATGGGCGGGTCGAGGGTGTCCAGGGAGTAGGGTCGGGTCGGAGTGCATTGACCACCGGGCCCAGAGGGTCCGAGCCGGGAGCGGAGCCTGCACCCTTCACCACCCGCCCTTCGGGAAATTTCAGAACTGAGCCAAGAGGCAGGTGCACCGGGAAAATGTGTCTGAGTCCTGCTTGGCAGAAGAGAAACTGAGTCACCAGCTCAGGAGCCGCAGGGTCAGCGGGCCTGAAGGGGGCTGGGTCTGCTTGTGGTGCAGAGGTTTGGGTGGGCCCTGTGTGAGCTGAGGTGGCCTCTGCCTGGAGATTGGTCTCCCTGCTGTGTCTGCACCTCTTGGCTCGGTTCCCCTGTGCTCCATGACTCTTGCATCTCTTGGCTGCTTCTCGTTGGTTTGGAATTGTCCCTGCGGCTGGAGCCATCTGAATGTGTAGGGTCTAGGCCAAGGAGGCAGGGGAGGGGTTGCTGATGGTGGGATTGTGGGTCTGAGCAGAAGGCTGAGGTTTGGGGAGACTTTTCCTGAGCTGCCCTCCCCCATCCCTCCCTGTCCTGGTGCCAGTCATCTTCCAGTATAATATGGGGGAGGAACACTAACAAAAGAGCCATGGGTTGTAAATGCCATGCCCAGCTCTGCCACTTGCTAGTTGTAAGATCTTGGGAAGCCTCTTCCTTTCTCGTTGCTCTTTTAGAAAAATTGGAACCTATAAAGTTAGTAATAATGGCGGTCGTTTATTGTGTGCTTACTTTGTATCGAACCCTGACTTGTTCCATTTAATTCTCCCGATGATTCTGTGGGTTAGAGAGCATTAGCTCTTTTATGGCTACAAATCTGCACTTCAGAGAGGATATATAATCTCTTCCAGATCACCCGGCTAATAGGTGGCAGAGCTGGGATTTCATCCCAAGTCTAACTCCAGATCCGGTAGCCTTAACCACCAGGCTAACCAGCCTTTAGGGCACACTCCCTAGTGAAAGAAGAGGAAGTGAAAAAGCCTAGGGCCCCAGCTCCCTGTTATGTTTTATTTACTTTGTGGCCAGCAGAGACTTGCTCTGACCCAGCCCACAGTCTTTCCCTGCCTGGTGCTGCTGCTTCTGGGCCCCAGGGTGAAGGGGCACCAAAGAAGCGGGCTGTGGCCATTCTAAGCCTCCGTCACACTGTGCCAGGGAACTGGGCCCCGGGGTCTACTTTCAGGACAAGTGTGGTTTCGATCCATCATTCATCTGTCCTCCTTCCTGAGCAGCCACCCTCCTCAGAGCTGGATCTCAGGACATAATGAGGCAGGGTCTGTAAGCACTGCAGACCTACCTCCCCTGAGAGCTGGGGCAGTGAGGGGCTGTGCATGAGGCTGGGGCAGCCAGTCCCTGGGGATGAGGACTATGCAGTGGGCAAAACTGTAGACTGGGGGTTCTGAAACTGTTCTGAGCTTCAGTTTTCTCATCTGTTGTCAAGGTTATCAAAGCCTGTTACAGGGAAAGGTAAGAACAGCACCTGGGAAGCATGTGATAAATCTTGAAGGACCTGTTTTAGAGAAGGGAGGTGGCGTGAGGGATAGATTCCTTTTTAGAGGAAGGTACTCCACGGCTGTCTGTCACTCCCAGAACCAGAGCCAGGGGGAGTGGGTTGGAATGCAGCAGAGTAGGTGCGGGCTGGACCCCGGGGAGCCAGCCAACTGGGGTGTGTGGGGTGTGAGGATGGGGAGAGGGAAGGGGGGCAGTGTGTGGTGTTCCCCATGGCTCTCCAAGGAGTCCAGACCAGAGTAGGGAGTCCGGCTGGGGGTGGGGCTCAGCCCCCAGTCCCACCTCAGCAGTGACTCTGTATGTGCCTCTCTTCCTTCTGCAGCTGCTGCCGCTCACCCCGTGTCTTCTGGCCGCTTCCCTCTTTGCTGCCCCTCCCCACAGGCTCTCCCTCTCCACCTCCTGGGGACCATCATGAATGGTGCCCCTTCCCCAGAGGACGGGGCCTCCCCCTCTCCTCCCCCTTTGCCACCACCCCCTCCTCCTAGTTGGCGGGAGTTCTGCGAGTCCCATGCCCGGGCTGCTGCCCTGGATTTTGCCCGCCGTTTCCGCCTCTACCTGGCCTCCCACCCCCAGTATGCAGGGCCTGGGGCTGAGGCTGCCTTCTCCCGCCGTTTTGCTGAGCTCTTCCTGCAGCACTTTGAAGCTGAGGTGGCCCGGGCCTCCGGCTCCCTCTCGCCACCCATCCTGGCTCCCCTGAGTCCTGGTGTGGAGATTCCACCACATGACCTGTCCCTTGAGAGCTGTAGGGTGGGCGGGCCCCTGGCTGTGCTGGGCCCTTCTCGATCATCTGAGGACCTGGCCGGCCCCCTCCCTTCCTCAGTCTCTTCCTCTTCTACGACCTCCTCGAAGCCGAAGCTAAAGAAGCGCTTCTCCCTCCGCTCAGTGGGTCGCTCGGTCCGCGGTTCAGTCCGTGGCATCCTACAGTGGCGGGGGACTGTTGACCCCCCATCCCCTGCTGGGCCCCTCGAGACCTCATCAGGCCCCCCAGTCCTGGGTGGAAACAGCAACTCCAACTCCTCTGGTGGGGCTGGGACCATTGGCAGGGGACTGGTTAGTGACGGAACATCCCCTGGAGACAGATGGACTCACCGATTTGAGAGGCTGAGACTCAGTCGGGGAGGGGGCGCCTTGAAGGACGGAGCGGGGATGGTGCAGAGGGAAGAGCTGCTGAGTTTCATGGGGGCCGAAGAGGCAGCCCCTGACCCAGCAGGAATGGGCCGGGGAGGAGGGGCAGCCGGGCCTACCTCAGGGGGAGGAGGGCAGCCTCAGTGGCAGAAGTGTCGCTTACTGCTCCGAAGTGAAGGAGAAGGAGGAGGAGGAAGTCGTCTGGAGTTCTTTGTACCGCCTAAGGTGAGGCTGCGACAAGGGTGGGTATCCGGGAGCGGGGCAGTTGACCCACCAGAGTGGAACAGCCCATGTGCATAGTTTTGCTCACTTTGATTTTTTTTTTTAAAGATTTTTATTTATTTGAGAGAGAGAGAGAGCATGTAAGAGAGAGAGCATGAGCAGAGGGAGGGGTAGAGGGAGAAGCAGACTCCCCACTGAGCAGGAAGCCCAATGCAGGGCTCAGTCCCAGAACCCCCGGGATCATGACCTGAGCCGAAGGTAGACACTTAACCAACTGAGCCACCCAGGCGTCCCCTCACTTTGGTTTTTAAAGCCAGCTCCTGACTCTGGGATAGTAGTTGTGGGCAGGGCTGAAAAAATAACATGACCCTTTGTCTAACTCCCTTAGGGCATAGAAGGAAAGATGGGTCTCTGGAAGGAAGTGAAAGGTGGTCCCTGCACACCAAAAGTTTGGATCCTGTTCTCTTTCCCAACTTAGGCGTCTCGGCCTCGACTCAGCATTCCCTGCTCTACCATCACGGACGTGCGGACAACAACAGCCCTGGAGATGCCTGACCGGGAGAACACGTTTGTGGTTAAGGTAGGAGCTCTGAGCTCCTGCCCCCACTTTGGAGCACTTGTGTTGGGGAAGAAGTTCACGTAGCTCATTGAAGGAAGGGACTTTGTGGAAGGAGGTGCCTGTGTGTCAAGTGCCTTGAGAGTGTGTCCCTGGGGCTGTAGCTTCTCTAGCAGGAGGGAACAGGAGGAGGATGTTTTTGTTCTTATTAGGGGAGGCTTATAGCCTCTGGACCTGGAAGTGGCCTGCAGGCCTCCTCTTGTCCTCGTAGGTGGAAGGCCCCTCGGAGTACATCCTGGAGACAACCGATGCTCTACATGTGAAGGCCTGGGTGTCTGACATCCAAGAATGCCTGAGCCCAGGGTGAGGAGCCTGACTGCTGTCATTGAGGGGATCCGGAGGGGATGGGGAGCAGCCGTGTGCCTCTCACCTGCTGAGTTTCTTCACAGCACCATTCTCCCTGTCTCTGCAGACCCTGCCCTTCCACCAGTCCCCGCCCTATGACCCTCCCCTTGGCCCCTGGGACGTCATTCCTTACACGGGAGAACACAGACAGCCTGGAGCTGCCCTGTCTCAATCACTCAGAGAGTCTGCCTAGCCAGGATCTGCTGCTGGGACCCAGTGAGAGCAATGATCGCCTGTCGCAGGGTAAGGGTGGAACCTCACAGGGCTGGGAACCTCAAAGCCGCCCCCGCCCCCCGTGCCAGGCCCAGGCCTTCCTTCCAAACTCAACTGCGCACCCCATTCCTGCCCCTCAGCTGCACCCCCTACACACCGAATGTCTGGCTTTTGTCCCAGAACGTACCCTGCCACAGTTGGCCACTTAGAATTCATCACCATCACCACCTTGCACGAGCCCCAAGCAAACTCCCTTCCAACCTTCCGTACCCAGCCTTTGCTCCTTTTCTATAAAGCTTGTGCAGACCTCCACTCTGGCTGGAGATAACGACTCTCTTTCCCAAGCTCCTGGAACACTTCATACACGTCTTTGTTTTGCTTTTACTCTGCATCTCTGTAGGTATGTCGATGTTTTTCAGTCAAAAACCAGATGTTTTTGACTCTTTATTTCTTGGCCTGACTGAACATACACAGCCCGACTTGCACACAGGTATGCCCAGAGACATGTGTCTGCCTGGCCCAGCTCTCACCTTTTTAGACTCTATTATTCCCTTTGTCTTGCTCCTCTATTCCGAGTGGAGGTTCAGTGGTGCCTGGCACCCTGGCTGTGCTCACTGAGTAAACAAACAGATTGAACAGTCTTGGAGCTAAGATGGACCTTACAAGTCATCGGTTCTATTCCCCTCAGGCAGCTAAGACCAGGGAGAAGCAAAGGCTTTTCTTTTCTTTTCTTTTCTTTTCTTTTCTTTTCTTTTCTTTTCTTTTCTTTTCTTTCTTTTCTTTTCTTTTCTTTCTTTTCTTTTCTTTCTTTTCTTTTCTTTTCTTTCTTTTCTTTTTTCTCTTTCTTTTTCTTTCTTTCTTTCTTTCTTTCTTCTTTCTTTCTTTCTTTCTTTCTTTCTTAATATTTTTATTTATTTATTCATGAGAGAGAGAGGCAGAGACACAGGCAGAGGGAGAAGCAGGCTCCATGCAGGGAGCCTAATGTGGGACTCGATCTGGGGACTCCAGGATCACGCTTTGAGCCAAAGGCAGGTGCTCAACCACTGAGCCACCCAAACATCCCTGGGAAATGGCTTTTCTGAGGTTACCCGAAAGCCCCTGAAAAAGACCAGGGCTATGCAAGTCTGCTCTCTGCCCCCCTTCTCTCCATACCCCACATACACCTGTCTTCTGAGCACTGACTGTGTGCTCAACCTATTCCCACAGGCTCAGGCCTGCCAGCCAGCAGACATTCAGGAATGCCCTAGTCCACACCTGAGCCTGTGCTAGGGTCTGGGGCAGGATGCAGGAACCCAGAGATGCTTGAGATGAGCTCCTTGTCCTCCGTGGGCTCCCAGACCAGCTGAATTGATAAGCTGTCACTCCCTCTGAAAAGCAGGACTCCAGAATAGAGAGCCTGTGCTAGTGTCCTCTGAGCAGCACTAGCAGGAAGCGCTGTGGGAGCTCAGAGGAAGAAGGGAATCGAGGAAGGTGGGATAGACAGGATATCACACAGGGGAGGTGAGAGAGAACAGGGCTTAGAGGAAGTAGATGGCCAGAGCCAGACCTGAGGTGGGGAGAGCCTGGGAGCTTGGGAAAATCGGGCGGGATGATCAAGCTCATGTGGAGACTCCAGGAATATAAGCCAATGTGAACATCAAGGTGGGGAGGTTGGGCTGATTAATAGGAGGATCTTTGATGCCTCTGAGACTTGGGGACTTTGTCCTGTAGGCCAAAAAAGGACACTTTTGGGCAGTCCCGGTGGCTCAGCGGTTAAGTGCCACCTTCAGCCCAGGGTGTGATCCTGGAGACCCGGGATCGAGTCCTACATCGGGCTCCCTGCATGGAGCCTGCTTCTCCCTCTGCCTGTGTCTCTGCCTCTCTCTCTCTCTCTCTCTCTCTCTCTCTGTCTCTCATGAATAAATAAATGAAATCTTAAAAAAAAAAAAAAGGACACTTTTTAATGTGAGAGTACTTGCAGGATTCTTCCCCCCAATCCCGGCAACAATCGCTGTCATTTCAGCTGTTGATTCATAAAAAATGGAGGCACTTTTGGATTCCAGGACCTCCTTGCAGTAACTCTCCGGTCCCCTAGCAGTGCCTGAGCCTCAGTCAGGAGCCAGCCAGCAGAACCATCAGGGTGGCTGCCTCAGGAAGGGGTGGGCATCTCAGCCCACTGACTCTGCCCGAGCACAGCACATGCAGCACACACAGGGCGATTTCTCTGGTTCTCAACTTTGCCCTCCTCCCTCTCTTCCCAGGAGCCTATGGGGGTCTCTCTGACCGCCCTTCAGCATCCATCTCCCCCAGCTCTGCCTCCATCGCTGCCTCCCACTTTGACTCCATGGAACTGCTCCCCCCAGAGTTGCCCCCCCGCATCCCCATTGAAGAGGGTCCCCCAGCGGGCACAGTTCATCCCCTCTCGGCCCCCTACCCACCCCTGGACACTCCAGAGACAGCCACAGGTACCAGAGGTGAGCGTGTGTCCAGTTCCAGGCCCAGCTGCCTAAACCCTTGTCTCGGGATCCTGAGGGATCGGACCCCGGGGGAAGGAAGTGACAGGTGGAGGGGAAGCCAGGCTTCTCTTCTCCCAGGATGGGGGAGGCTTCCCTGACGCCCCGGTTTCCCTCCCTCTCTCCTTCCTGAAGGATCATTCCTGTTCCAGGGGGAGTCAGAGGGAGGTGAAGGGGACCAGCCCCTCTCAGGGTACCCTTGGTTCCACGGGATGCTCTCTCGACTCAAGGCTGCGCAGCTGGTGCTGGCCGGAGGCACTGGCTCCCATGGTGTTTTCCTGGTACGGCAGAGTGAGACGAGGCGGGGCGAGTACGTCCTCACTTTCAACTTCCAGGGCAAGGCCAAGGTCAGTGAGGAAGAGGCTGTGTGCCCCAGAGGGAGCCTGCCGGGAGTGGGGCTGGCCAGGGGAGGCGCTTCTGGGACACATAGGGCATGGGCTCCTGTTTCACCTCCCTCATCCCCGCCCTTAGCACCTGCGCCTGTCGCTGAATGAGGAGGGTCAGTGCCGGGTCCAGCACTTGTGGTTCCAGTCCATTTTCGATATGCTCGAGCATTTCCGGGTGCACCCCATCCCTCTGGAGTCTGGAGGCTCCAGTGACGTTGTTCTTGTCAGCTATGTCGTGTCCTCCCAGCGACAGCAGGGTGAGCAGAGCAGGTCTGCAGGGGAGGAGGTGCCCGTGCACCCAAGAAGTGAGGAGGTGTGTGTGCCAGAAAGACGGGGTGGGGGGAGGGCTATGAGGAGGAGAAGCTTCGTGAGGGAGAGTAGGGTAGAGAAAGTTTCTGGGTGTTGGGCTTTTGAAGAGGAATCAGGACGCTAAGGACATAGGGAGGCAGAGGGCTCCTTGCTGGAGCTGGGAGGAAGTGGAATTTGGGTTGGTGCATCCCCATTCCATCAGACCCCCGTTCCATCATCTGTGTGTCTCCTGGATCCATCCTCCTCAGCCTTGTCTTTGCCCTTTGTCACAGTCTTGCCTTGGGCCTGTCCTCCTTGGGGATGCTTGGTCTGATCCTGCTCCCTCCTCCCCTGATGTCTGATCTCTCCTTTTCCCCACCCCAACGTCCCATCTGTCCCCACGTTGCCCCCCCCCCCAGGCCGGGAGCAGGCCGGGAGCCATGCAGGGGTGTGCGAGGGAGATCGATGCTATCCCGATGCCTCCTCCACCCTCATGCCCTTCGGAGCGAGTGACTGTGTGTAAGTGTGGTCCTCCTCTCACCACCACCCATGATCCATCTTCCATGGAGTGGGGGGGTGCTGCTCAGGAGATGGGCTGTGGGGGAGATAGCACATGGCTTCTGGGGGGGTGAGTGCAGAGGGGAGGCTGCTGCGAGAGCTGGCCTCCCTCCACAGTCTGTCTTCTTGCCCTTCCTATCCAGAACCGAATACCTCCCATGACCCACCCCAGCCCCCTGAACCCCCTTCATGGACAGATCCCCCACATCCTGGGGCAGAAGAGGCGTCGGGGGCGCCAGAAGTGGCGGCAGCAGCAGCCGCAGCAGCCAAAGAGAGGCAAGAGAAAGAGAAAGCGGGCAGTGGAGGGGTCCAGGAAGAGCTGGTCCCCGTGGTTGAGCTGGTCCCCGTGGTTGAATTGGAAGAGGCCGTAGCACCAGGCCAAGAGGCCCAGGGAGGCGCTGGATCCGGTGGGGCCCCAGGAGCCACCCCGATGGTGCAGCTCCAGCAGTTACCACTAGGGGGCGATGGAGAAGAAGGGGGCCATCCCAGAGCCATTAATAATCAGTACTCCTTCGTGTGAGACACCCTACCCCGCCCTTTCTCCACTCTTCTTGCTCCCCAGGCCCTAGTGCGTGAAATTGGGGCTGGGCCGGTGGTAGAGGAGCGGTAGGAATCCCCTCCCCCACGTGCTTCCTGACCCTTGATGGCCAAGGGCATATACGTTGGTACAAGAGGTTCAAGAGCCCTGTTAACTCCCCAGTTCATACACTACAGGTGCCCCATCCCCTAGGCAGGGGATTTGGGCTCCATTACCTCCCCGAGGGGCTCTTATGGTCAGCCCCACCCCTGGGGGCCATTTCCCCGCTAACCACCCCCTAGCCCGAGGAAGGGTGAGGGGGAAGGGCTGTCAGTTATATTAAGGTGGTTGTTGTTGTTGTTTTAAACAAAATGGAGAAGCATAAATAAATAAAAGGGTTTATCTCAGTTGCATTGCGATGGCTGTGGCCAGTGTTTGCAGTGGGGGGCTGGGACAGGGGAGTCAGGAAGGCAGCCCACTCTGTTTCCACTCCAGAGCTGAGAGGCCAGAGGGTCAAGTCAAGTCCCTGTTGCCCTCCAGCACTGTGCTTTCGGCCTGTTGTTCCCCAGCCTGTTGTTCCCCAGCCTGTTGTTCCCCCGCCGTGCTGTAGAGTGGTAAGTGCAGAGCCATACCGGGCTTCCCAGTGTCTCCAGCCAAGTTCTCGTAATGGGACAGGACAGGACAGCAACAAGATTGACAACTTCTAAGGACCCCTCCACACACACACACACTCTGAATTCTTCAGTTAAGGCTTCTCACCCTAGGGAGAGTGAGTGGGGCCAGGGCCTGGTTGGTGGCTGTGTCGGAAGAAATTTAAAGTGGCAGTCACAGGCTGGCTGCAGAGGGGCCCGAGGACAGGCTGGCTGCCCCCTTCTCAGGGCCGAGCTGGGAAGCTGGAGGATAGAGGATGGAGCCCCATTTTTTTCACTCCTGGCTTTTCCTCTCCTTTGCTCTTCGGCCTAGGCAAGGAGGTAGGCTCTGCGGCCTCAGTGTCCCCATCTGTAGAGTGGGAGGTTTTATCTGGGTTGGTGCTGTGGACATGATTTGCTTGGCCTGGATAGCATCTCCATTGGGATTTCACAATAGAAGTTCAGATTACCGGCTTCTGAAAATCTGAAGATCCAACCTCCCATGCTCCACCTTCCACATTCCACACCTGCTCCATCCCCACTGGCCCACTGCACCCATGTGACCTTCTCAGCACTGTGGGCATGAGTTTGCAACATCTCTCCCTCCTTGTGGGACCCCTCATTAAACCCAGGCTCTACTCTTTTAACGGATCTGCAGCCATGCCCTCCTCCAACGGAGGGCACCTTTGGGTTTCCCAGCTCTCTGGGTGGCAGGTGCCCACAAGGAGGGGCCAGATTTGAAAGAACCTGTTTTGCTTGGCCCTCTCCGCTCCTCACCTCCACCCAGGGCTGCCTCTCACCTTCCTTCTCAGGCAGCATGGAGCCTATATTCTCACGCCCCTCAGCCACTGTCCCCACCTCCAAGAGGCCCTAGCCATGCTTATGACCTTGCTATTCTGGGCCTTGTGTCCTGTTGGGAGATGGACAGGAGACAGCTGGGCTCACAGGCCACCCAGGCTGGGGGCTAGCTGGGGGAAGCCTGCTGGCTCTCCCAGTTTTGTCTAATTCCTGGGGCTCCCCCAAACTTTGACCTCAGGAGACCGGGGATAGAATTGGCCTTGCAAAGGAGGGGATGGTTTGGGGATCTAGGTGCTGTGTTCTGGAAAAGGAGGTGGTGAGTGAAGGCTGTGGCACCCCAGGGTAAGCAGGAACTGATCCCCTTCTAATCTAGCAGCAACTGGTGCTGCAAGGCTCCCCCTCCCCCTAAACCCTGCCAGCTTCAGGGACTTGCCTTCTGAAGTTGGGTGGGGGAGGGGGCCAAGGAGCAACCCCCCACCCCAAGGTTTGCATGTCTTGGCTGGAGAAGCCTAAGAGACTGTTTCCCTCTCAGCTTTGCTTTAAGGATGGGGTTGAGATGAAGTTTGGGACCAGCCAGAGACCAGCCAGGCTCTGTGTCCCTGTCCTTCAGAACCAGGCCTCTCCCATTCCCAGCTTCAGCCCTCCTAGGGGGGAGGAACACTCCCACTGTGGGCTTGGAGACCCCCCCCCGGGGGGGGGGGAATCCAAGAGAACCAGTAAGACACTGGTCCTCCACCCCAGTCCACACCCCCAGCCTCCCCAGCCGCCAGCCTTTTGTTTCTCCGTCTCTGGCTTCGGCTTCCCCTCTGGAAGTTGGGGGTGGGGGGGCGGGGTCACCTTAGAGGGCCCCCGCTGGCAGCAGTGTCTCGTCCTCAGCCTCCTGCTCTCAGCTCCCCAGAAGCCTGGATCCCTCCAGTCTTCTCCCCCTTCTCCATGTTTGGGCATTCCTGCTCCTTTCAGGACCATGCCCCTGTCACTCCTCCAGGTGGTGGCAGGGAGAAGCCAGAGAGCACCAAAAGGCTTGGCCCATGCTGAGCCTGACTCTGGCCTAATAAGGGGGGTGCTGGGCCAGATGGAGGTGCCTGGGGATGGGATCTCATTGTCTGAGCACCCCCCTCCTCAGGTCACAGCTCAAGGGAGGGGTTCATGGGAACCATGAAAAGGGGCAGGGAAGGAGTACCGTGTCCTCACCTCACCCGGGAGGCTCCCCTCCCCTCCAAGTCCAGGCAGAGGAAGGGATAAGTGCGGGGGGCTAAGTCCTTAAATGTCTCCCTCCTGGCCTGCCTACTCCCCCAGAAGTGGGGCTGCCCTTTCCTTTTCCCACTGTCTGCCTGCCATCCTCTGCTTAGGAACCTGAGTGCCAGGGGCAGGCAGGGGGGAGCTGCTTGGAGAACCCTTTCAGTGGCCCACACTCCTGACTGTCCATCTCAGGAAGCCAGAGGCCTGGCCACAGGAAGGGCTCAAGGCTCCTTCTTCCCCTCCTGGACCTTCCACCACTAACTCTCATTGAGAGGCTCTCCTCTCTCTGCCCTCCTTTCCTCCCCTGCCCCCGGTGCAGGCTATCCTCCGTCTGCTCCTCCAGCAGCTGCCTTGTTAGTAACCAAGACGCCCCCATCCAGGATCGGGGGTGGGGGTGGGGGGCTCAGAGCAGCTGCTTCTACAAGGAAGCTGACACCAAGGCCAGCCGCTCAGCAACAACTTGTGGCTTTGCACCCAGCCCTGGGCCCCCACCCACCTGGCTGCTGCCTGCCAGCTTCCTGCTGTCCCTTTTCCCACTGCTCCTCAGACTTCCCTCTGACCCTGGCAGCCCTGTCTCGGTTTCCCCAGTCCGATTCTGTCCTTATTTCCCCTAGACCTGTCCTCATAAGTCTGCCCCCTCCCCACTCCTTTGGTCTGGAGCGTCTGTCTGCTCTGGGCAGCTTCTCAGCCCCCTGTCCTTGACGCTTCTTCCCTCGCGCCTCTTCCTGGAGGTTATACGCCCAGCACCTGAGCATGCAGCTGCCATCCTCTCTCCCCTGAAGGAAACACTTCAGAGCCAGGGTGGAGTGCGGACTACACACCATCTGGGATCTGCCATGTGAACCCCTTGAGTTAAATAGCACTGTAGAGGCTGAGGGGACCCTCATTCCAACACTTGGAGGGACTCTTGCCACCATCCTGAAACATTCATCCCTCCCCCTCACCATCAGCACATTTTGTGGCCTCCTGGATTACCTAGCTGCCTGGGTATCCCATTTTCTTGGTGGGGGGGATTCCCTGTCAGGGAAGGGGGCCCCCCAAGGCTACATTTCCAGAGGCTGAGTTAGAGTGATGGGGAGGGGGGGTGTTTGGGGGAGAGACAGGCAGTCCTGGCTTTGCTCACCAGGGCTTGGACACTAAATCCCTTGTTGATGGCTGCAGCAACCCCTCCCGAGGGTAGGGTTACCCTCTTCTGCCCTGTCGCCTTGACCCTCTCCCCTCCCTACTTCCCCTTGTCCCTCTAGAGCCATTTCCTCTGGCCCCTAAAGGATGTTGTTCCCCTCTCCAGTCCCCTGAAGGCTGGAGTATCTGCTGCCCTTTCAGCAGACTGGGTGAGGAAGGAGACTGTGGCAATAGAAACAGGTTGAGAGTTGGTAAGACGGGAGGGGATCAGGAAAAGAGAAAAGTGGAGGCCTGAGAGTAGAAGTGGAGAACTTCAGGGATGAGTTTGGACCAGGAAATTCGGTACAACTGAGTAAGTCTGGGCAATTGAGGGAGGGGTCAGCAAAAGACAGAAAGTGAAGTCTCTCCCTGCCCCCCTTCCCTGAGGCTGGGGCCACCTTAGCTTCCCTCATGAGTGACATCTCAGGCTGCAGCCCCAATGTTCCCCCTCTGTCAGCAGAAATATCTTTCTTCTGACCCCTCCTGCCGGAGTCTTAGCCAGCCAATCCCTGATCTGGGGGGGGGGGAGGCTGGCCCCCCCCACTCCCTCATAAGGACCAGCTGGGGGTTGGGGGGGGTGGCCGGCTGCTGCAAGTGGGACGGGGGTCAGAGCTTTGTGGAAGGAAGAAAAACCTGGGGGGGGGCAGGAGAGAAAAGCAAGAAACCCAGGCAAACAGGCAGGTGGACACTGAGGAAGGCCCCCAAAGCGTGAGGACCCCCCCCAGAAGGAGCACACCACCCCCTGGCCCCCAGGAAGGGAGCACAATGGAGGCTGCACACTCCAAGACCACAGAAGAATGTTTGGCCTATTTTGGGGTGAGCGAGACTACAGGCCTTAGCCCGGACCAAGTGAAGCGGCATCTGGAGAAATACGGCCCCAATGGTAAGTGTCTCTTGGAGGAGAGGCTGGTAACGCCCTCTTGCTCCCTCACAACACAGACAGACACATACACACACTCACACACTTACACTGGAGTCTCTCCCTCCAGAGTACCTCAGGGAAGAGCTGGGCCATGGTCCAGTGACTGCAGGGGATTCTGACAAAACAGAGTGCCTGAGAGAGTTTTGGGAGGTTTCTTGGGATGACCTTGGTGAACCTCAGATGCCCTTTAGGTAGCCTGATTCTCTTACCTTAGCCAGAATCCTGGGTGTGGGGGGCATTAGACTGAACCCCAAATGAATATGTCCTTTTCTTCTTTTTCCTGGGTAGAGCTCCCTGCTGAGGAAGGTAAGTTACTGGAATCCCTGAGCTCTCTTAATGACCAGCCCCCGCCCCCCAGCCCCTGTGCCCACTCCTTTATCCCCACCTTCTCCCTACTGACTCCCGGGGCAAATACACTCTCCAAAGGTTAGAGTCTGGCTGGGGGCAGGAGTTTCCAGGCACTTTCTCCCAGAGGCCTCCAGTCCTTGAGCAACTAACTGCCCACCACCACTTTGTGGAGCCCGTTTCGGGACTCCCGGGGAGCCCCCTCAGCCTCCTCTCAGTGCCAGGCGGCCTGCTCATCCCCCTAGAACCTTCCTGCTCAGGCTGGAAGTCAGGCCACTGTTGGTCCCTGGATCCCAGCCTGCCCTTAGAGTCCAAGCCATTCATCCTCCAGACCTTAACCACCCCCCCCGGGGGGGGCCCTCCCCTGCCTCTTCCCCCAGGGAAGACCCTGTGGGAGTTGGTGATAGAGCAGTTTGAAGACCTCCTGGTGCGGATCCTTCTCCTGGCCGCCTGCATTTCCTTTGTAAGTTTGGGCAGGCATCTGGGGGCGGGCTGAGGTGTGAGTCGGGGGCGCTCCGGTTCCTCGGCTCCTCGGGTCCCAGTCCTCACCATCCTCTCCCCTACACCAGAACTGAGGGGGCAGGGAGGGGCGCTGATGCGCACGCCTCGGTCCTCCTCCACACCCCACAGGCAGGTTTTATTTTAAGCTTTAAGGGTGTTCTCAGCCAAAACACTGAAGCTAAGCCACCCCCGCAGCCTCAAGGGCTTCGAGGGCTCGGGTTACCCCGCAAGCGCCGGGCTCCCCGGCTTGCGGCTCAGGCTCTGTGGCTCAGGCTCTGTGGCGCTCCAGCACCAGCACTCCCGGCATGCCCCGAGGCGCGCAGCCGCTCCACCAATCCCCGAGCCTCCTGGCGCCCCCGCCCCTCCCTCCTGACGCTGATTGGTCGCCGCAGAGACTCCCCCCAGAGGCGGGAAAGAGCTGCTGGTGTGAGGGTACCTCTGAGTGCACCCGAGGGCGGGCCGGCCAGACCCCTCCGCTGGCCCCGGGCTTTGATGCCTGCCGCCCGTCAGCGCTAGGGCTCCGGGACCCCCTCCTCACCCACCCGGCCTGACCTTGCCCGCCCTCTCTGGATCCCTCGCAGCCGCAAGGCCGCCACCTCTCTGGCCCCTGAGGCCACCCCCACCCACCCCCCACCAGCACCCACCACCCCAGCAGACCGCCTGCCTTCTGGAGTTTCTTCCTTAACATCTTAGTCCCACCAGAAGATAAGGCTGGGGGCAAAGAAGTTTCCCTGTCCCCTGGTCTCCTTCACGGAGGCCCTGTGGGCCTCTGAGTACTAGCTGGCAGGGCCTCCCTTCTCCCTTCTCAGATTTGCTCCTTGACATTTGCCTGTGGCTGTTGCTTGGCAGTGGCAACAGCTGGGGTGGGGTGTGTACAGGAGGCCCCGTAACACTATCCCCCCTCCTGTTCCCTCATGAAATTGGAGCTTCCCTTGCTGTTGGGGAGGGCTGTGGGGGGGGGCGGGTGGTGTCTGCAAGGACCACAGGGTTTTCCCTGAGGAGTTTTGGCTCCCGTGGGATGGATGTGGCTGTAGGGTGGCCTGGGTGGCCCGTGAGCATTGTTTACAGGCCAACAGCCCGGCCAGGGAAAATCTAAAAGCATTCCCAATTAAACCCGGAGTTGTGCATGTCTACACCTGCCAGTTCCTGTTGCCTGAGAGCAGGGGCAGTGCTCCTGTGGAGTGTGTAGGACCTCAGACTGATGAGGGGCTGCAGTATCCCCGAGATGCCCAGCCCCATTTGCTCCTGCACGCACACTCACCCTCACTATGTGTTTGAGGGGTTTTGTTACCGTTAGTCTCCATTTCCCTGCTCCCCAGGTGCTGGCCTGGTTCGAGGAAGGCGAAGAGACCATCACTGCCTTTGTGGAACCCTTTGTCATCCTCTTGATCCTCATCGCCAACGCCATTGTAGGGGTTTGGCAGGTTAGCCATGACCCCGCCCCACTGTCTTCCTCCCAGTCTCCTTCTCCTCCGTCACTTCCTCTGGACTTGCCTTGTTCCCTGTCTCTAATGCCCAGTTTGGAAAGGGGATGGAGTGCAGGAAAGAGATGGGAGACTGGTGTTCCCACTGTCACTTGCTGGCTTCATAACCCAGACAGGTTCCTTCACCTCTCTCAGCCTCAGTGTCCTCATCCATAAAATGGCTAATAATCCTGTCCCTGAGTTGTGCTGAGATGGAACAGAGTGATGCATGTGGCGTGCCCAGCCCTGCACCTGGCATATAGTAGCAGGTCAATAAATGCTAGCTTGATTTTCCTTCTCTTCCCTTACCACCCTCTACTTTTCCTGTCCTTTGCTTTCTGATTCTCTTTTCTTCTCTCCCCTGAGCCTCCTTACCTGTCTTCAGCCATAAATGATAATTTCCTCAACACAGACACCTACCCTCACATAGACTTTGTCTACTCCTATGCCAGGAGCCACTACTGCATGACCTGCCTCTTCCTCTGTAATGTCCCTGTTTCCCCAGAACTCTGGCCCCTGCCCCTCCTAGGCCCCACCCAGGCCCCTCTCATTCCCCAACCTTCCTCCCTCCGATGACCCTTCTCTCTTCCACCCTGCCCCTCCAGGAGCGAAATGCAGAGAATGCCATCGAGGCTCTGAAGGAATATGAACCCGAGATGGGAAAAGTGTACCGGGCTGACCGCAAGTCAGTGCAAAGGATCAAGGCTCGGGACATTGTCCCTGGGGACATTGTGGAGGTGGCTGGTGAGTGATGGGAATGAGTGGTCCAGGAAGGGAAGTCTGGACTTTGAGGCCGAGAGGATGCATATGGTGAGGGTGGGGGCCCCTGATCCTGCTGTCCAGGAGGTAGCTGGGATGGTGGATTCTTTGCTTCTCCTTCTCAGACTCCTTAGGAGGTCACCCCAGGGCACTGTGGCTGTAGCACCCCTCCCTGTCGGAGTCTCAGCAGGAACAGCCAGTCCTGTCCCTGACGCTCCAGGCAGACCCCCTGCTCCCCCTCCTCTCACCCAGCACTTGCAAGCAACAGGTGGAACCTAGTCCCTGCCAATGGCCCCGTCTCCACCCCCCCTCCTGAGGCCTGGCTTCTCTCTCCTTCCACCCACCCCCAAGCTTGGTCAGCTTTAAATCTTGACCTCTTGGTGCCCTTGAGGCCTCTTGAAGGGGAAGGAGTGAGGGTAGAAGGGAGGAGGGGGGCCGAAGGCTCAAGCCCCCAACCATGTAAGGGAAACTCAGGTCCCAGCGGGGAACACGGGACCTGGGAGGAGGGGAGCTCAAGGAGGGGCCCCGCCTCTCCAGTGAGGGACACTTAATGCCTGACCAGGGAGGGGTGGGGGCCGGGTGGCTAAGATTACTGGGATTCTGCCCCCTTCAGCGGTTTTTATATTTGCCTTGTGCAGGCCTTCCCACATCTTCAGGCCCCTGGCAGAGGGGAAAGGATCTAGGCCTGCTTCCCTCCACTAGACTCCCCAGTTGTACCTCAGGAAGCCTAGGGAGGGGGGGGGCAGGCTGAGGACCCCGGGGCACCATCACAGGGCCGTCCTGCCACGGTGACAGTTTGGAGTCAGCGCCATGAATGTCTATAAATATCACTTGGGCTTGGGTGACAGGGTGTCCCGCCCAACTCCTTTGCCGACCTCCTCCCTCCTCTGTCAGCTTCCTCTGACATAGGAGGAGGAACCTTAAAAACAGGGAAAAGAAAGCAGCCCAACCAGCCCTGTCCCCAGTATCCCCCGTTGGAACAGGGGGCACTAGGCCGAGACAGTGGAAAGCCCTGAAGTTCCAGGGGGGCATAATCCGCCTTGTCAGCCTCTCTGCAGGGGGGTCTCCTGTACTGACCCTCTCCGGTGCATCTCCTGTGCTCTGCCCCCACTCTGGCTCTGCTCCCTCCTGCCCTGCCGTTCCTTGTTCCCTGCAGACCTCCCCTTCTCTCCGTCCTGCCCATCTCCCCGGCTCACTCACTCGCTGTGGCTTCCTGCCTTCCTTCAGGTGCACACGGGGCCTGGCAGGGGTCTGACAGGTGGTTTTCACCAGGCTCTGCTGGACCTGCACCCTCTGCCCCAGTGCCTCCCCTCTCCTTCTGCTTCTGCCCTTCTTACCCTTTCTTTTGCTCTGCCTTCTGTCCTACTGGACACTGCTTTTCTCGATTCTCATAACTTCTCCTGTTTCTTCCTGTGTCTTCCTGTCCCCCTCCTGCCCCCGTCTGTGATTCCACGACCTACTCTCCCCCTCCAGGCGTGTCTTTCAAATTCAGTCTCCTTTCATTCTTTTCTTGCTCTTCTCTCTCCATCTTTCTCTCTCTTGTTTCCCTCTTGGTTTTGCTTCTCATTACACAACTGGATGGTTCCTAATTTTCCCTTCAGCCATTCAGCGTACGTTTATTGAGCACATGCTGTGTGCCAGGCAGTGCGCAGGGCCCCAGGGTTTAGGGAGGGGGAGAGAAAGCAACGAGGGGGCAGTTGGAATAAGTGCTGAGAGGGGGATGCTTGCTGGAGCTACAGGAGCCCATGCCAAGGGCCTGACTCAAGCCCATGACGGGCAGCCAACCCTGGTGACCTGAGGACGAGGTGAGGTTGTCAGACAGAGGTTGGGCTTTAATTGGGAAGGAAGAAAACTGCTTTCTCAACTGACTTGACTCTTGTTTACTCTCTCCACAGTGGGGGACAAAGTCCCTGCAGATATCCGCATCCTATCCATCAAGTCCACCACCCTCCGGGTGGACCAGTCCATCCTGACAGGTCTGGTGGGCCGGGGGTGGGAGGATGCTTCAAGGGGGTGTGGGGATGAAGTGGGGAGCTGAGTGCCACACAAGGATGAAACTCTAGGTGGATAAAAAGGAATAGCCAGCCACATGGCCCACTCCTGGCTCTGTAGCAACAGTGATGTCAGCATGGCTCAGCTTCATTCATCATGGCAAGCCTGAAACAAAAGGGGTCATGGGAGAGGGTGGAACATTTGTGCCCATTCTCCACATGGTCATCGACCCCATCCTTCCCCATGGACATTCAGACACCCAGAGAACTGTCCTGTTGCTTCAAAAGCCCCCAAGTGAGGAACCATAGATTCTAGGACAGGATGGAGGGTCTGGATGCACTTAAAACCACAGCTGCTTCTGCTTATCTGCTAGGAGAGAGAGGGTGAAGAGCCAGCGAGCGTTCCCTGTGGTCCAAAAAGGCAAGGCTGGACCGGTGTGGGGCAGCTGCCTGAGCCCCTGCCCAATGTAGGGAAGGAGGCAGCTCTGCCCTTGACCCCACCTCTTCACATATGTCAGCTTCTTTGACTTTCACCAAGACCTGGTTCTGGAGGCTATATAGTATCGTCCCCATTTTACAGAGACCAGAGGTTAAGTGATCCCAAATTATAAAGCTTTTAAGTGGTCAGGCTGAGGCTCAGGTCAAGGTCTTTTTACTGTAAGTAAAAATATGGATTTCCTATCTGCCTCCAGTGGCTTTTCCAGTGTTCAGCCTTCCTCCAGGACTGCAGTTTGGTCCTTACCAGGCTCTGTCCTGCCAAGCAGGGCGAGTTAGGGGTGGGAAGGATGGGAGGAGGACATGATGTCATCTGGAAACCTCTTGGCTCCTTCCCCACAGGCGAGTCCGTGTCCGTCATCAAACACACAGACCCCGTCCCTGACCCCCGAGCTGTCAACCAGGATAAGAAGAACATGCTTTTCTCGGTGAGCCATGCAGGGCCAGCTGTCATGCGCTCGAGCCAGAGGCCCTGGTGTGGGAGAGACGTGGCAGTGCGAGGAGAGATGAGCCCTGCCATCAGGAGGGTGCCGAGTGAGGGCTGCCTCTCGCCTGAGTCCTTGCCTCTTGCTTGCCCTCTCAGGGTACCAACATTGCTGCTGGCAAGGCCTTGGGCATCGTGGCCACCACTGGTGTGAGCACCGAGATCGGGAAGATCCGAGACCAAATGGCAGCCACAGAACAGGATAAGACCCCTCTGCAGCAGAAGCTCGATGAGTTTGGGGAGCAACTTTCCAAGGTCATCTCCCTTATCTGTGTGGCCGTCTGGCTCATCAACATCGGCCACTTCAATGACCCCGTCCACGGAGGCTCCTGGATCCGTGGGGCCATCTACTACTTTAAAATTGCTGTGGCCTTGGCTGTGGCCGCAATCCCAGAAGGTACGGCAAGCTCTCTTTCATCTCCCACTGGCTAATCTGACCTGCAAAGGCCCCTTTTGCAAGCAGGGTAACATTTTCAAGTTCCAGGGATCAGGACTCAATTTCCTTGGGGGGCTGTGGTCCTCCCCCATCACTGACCCCTCACTCCTTCTCCTTCCTCCCCCACAGGCCTTCCTGCAGTCATTACCACCTGTCTGGCCCTGGGCACCCGGCGGATGGCAAAGAAAAATGCCATCGTGAGGAGCTTGCCCTCTGTAGAGACTCTGGGCTGCACTTCTGTCATCTGTTCTGACAAGACGGGCACCCTCACCACCAACCAGATGTCTGTCTGCAAGGTCAGGGGAAGTGTGGGAGACTCCCACTCCAAAAACTGCCTTTGAGGGGAAATAAGCCCTCCAAAAATGGGGTTAGCACTTCATCACTGGCAGCTTCTGCTTCTGGCCAGGGAAATAAATGTACAGAGGGCAGGTATATATTGCCACCCTGCCAGATGTGAAAAAGATGACCGGGGTCCCCCGCCCCCTGCCCTCAGAATGGCCCTCCATGGCAGGATCTGGGGAGTCTGGCCACAGTAATCTTTAATAGCATTTCCTAAACCAGGGCTCTTAATCTTTCCTGAGCCTCAGACTCAAGCAGTCTGGACCTCTTCTCAATATAATAGTTTAAATGTATAAAATAAAATACACAGGATTCTGTTTTTAAAAATGCATTGACTTACAGAGGAAACCAGTGATTGAGATACAGTTATCAAAGTATTTTAAAAACAAATTTGTGATGTGGTCACACTTATGCTTCTGCACGAATGCATTCGGTAGCAGACCTAGTGGTGGGTCTGAGCAATTTTGAGGGCTTTACAACAGTGCAGTGTGATAGGAAGGGATCTGTGATCGTATGGGTGGTAAAGTTATGGGTTTTGCTAATATCGATGTGATCCACTGTGATTGGAAGGAAATGCTCATGTCAGAGAGAAAATAAGAAATTTCTTTCTTTCTTTCTTTCTTTCTTTCTTTCTTTCTTTCTTTCTTTCTTTCTTTCTTTCTTTCTTTTCTTTCTTTCTTTCTTTCTTTCTTTCTTTCTTTCTTTCTTTCTTTTCTTCTTTCTTCCTGTCTTCCTTCCTTCTTTCCTTTTCTTTCTTTTTTTTTTAATTTTTATTTATTTATGATAGAGAGAGGCAGAGACATAGGCAGAGGGAGAAGCAGACTCCCTGCAGGGAGCCCAATGTGAGACTTGATCCCAGGACCTTGATCCCAGGACCCCGGGATCACAACCTGAGCCAAAGGCAGATGCTCAACCACTGAGCCACCCAGGTGTCCCTCTTGGAACCTGTCTTAAGCCCTATCCGCCCCCCCCCCCCCCCCACTGGCTACAGTTTGGGATGGGCTGCTTCTCTCTGGGACCTTCCAAAGCGCAGGCTTCAAAGCCAGACCTCAGGCTTCTGCAACCGGTTCCTAAAAATGAATTGATTGCCCTCATTTGAAAGTCAAGAGATTTCACAGGAAAATAACCTGAATTTCTGGCTCTTCCTGCAAAACTGGAAGATCCTGGCCATGAGTGGCTAGAGCTATAGCTGGGCCACATGCTCTTGTGTACCTTATTGCTCACACCTACTTTTACCAACTCATCTAAAGGAGCCTCCAGTGTGGCCTTCAGAAACTAATGACTTCTGTTTTGAAGCCATTAACACTGAACAAGAAGGGCAGCTCTGGTGGCCAGCGGTTTAGTGCCGCCTTCAGCCTGGGGTGTGATCCTGGAGACCCGTGATCAAGTCCCATGTTGGGCCCCCTGCATGGAGCCTGCTTCTCCCTCTGCCTGTGTCTCTGCCTCTCTCTCTGTGTCTCTCATGAATAAATAAGTAAAATCTTAAAAACAAAAAAACACTGAACAAGGAGAATGACAGTCAGGGGGTGGCGGGAGAAGGGAGGCAGGTGGTGGGGAGCCTTGGTTAGTCTACAAGGGTGATTGGGAGAGGGACAGGATGCCAGCCTCTCCTCTGTACCAACTGTCAGGGATGGTGACAACCAGACATGTGTGCTCATATCCTTCTCCCTGCAGATGTTTATCATTGACAAGGTGGACGGAAACCTCTGTGTCCTGAACGAGTTCTCTATCACTGGTTCCACTTATGCTCCAGAAGGAGAGGTGTAAGTGCCCCGAAGCCCTTTCCTCAGCTCCTTGTGCCTCCACTAGACTCATGCACACCCCACTTTCCCGAGGGCCTCCCTCTCGTTTTATCTTCCTTCCTCTCTCCTCTTCCTTCACCGACCTTGTTCTCTCCCCCCCCCCACCCTGATTATTCTCCATGCCGGTTGCCACATCCCTGACTGTCCCTCACGCTTTCCCCAAGTCCTCTCTGCATCTCGGTCTCTATTCTCTACCTGTCTCTTTTCCTTCCTTCCTCCCTGCCCTGCTACCAGCTTGAAGAATGATAAGCCAGTCCGGTCAGGGCAGTATGATGGGCTGGTGGAGCTGGCCACCATTTGTGCCCTCTGCAATGATTCCGCCTTGGACTTCAATGAGGTAACTTCTTCATTCCTGATGCAGCCCCTCTGTCCTCTTCCAGCTGGCCAAGGCCACATGGGAGGGAGACACCTTGTACTGAGTCCTCTTCTGGGTGGAAGGGGGAAGGAGTGGCTGGCCCCCTTCCCGTTCTAGGGGGAAGGTGGAAGCAAGGGGCCGGGAGCACAGGGCACTTACTTCCTCTTCCCCCTCTGTCCTCCCAGACCAAAGGTGTTTATGAGAAGGTGGGTGAGGCCACCGAGACCGCACTCACCACCCTGGTGGAGAAGATGAATGTATTCAACACTGACGTGAGAAGCCTCTCAAAGGTGGAGAGGGCCAATGCCTGCAACTCGGTGAGTGTGGGTGCTCCTTTCCACAGGGTCCCTCTTTGCCCTGTGTCGCATTGCACAGGCAAGGACCAGAGAAACTCAGGGGAGCAGAGGCCCCCAGTCCAGCCAGGAAGGGCCTCGGGCCCCAAGCTGGGACGCCACTGGCAGAGGCAGGACCTCTTGCCCGTGGACGGATGTGCCGTCTGCCGCCTAGCTGTAGCCTCCCTGGATGACACTTCTCCCGTTGTGTCCCTAGCTGGAAGTGGTGGCACTGGGCACAGAAATCACGAGCCACCCATCACAGTGCTTCCCCTTGTCCAGATGAACAAACCCATTCTGCTCCTCTCTAGGATGCTACTGTTAATATTTACTGAATGTGTATATTGAGCTCCTCTTGTATATTATGTTCTTCATATAGCTCATTCTTTTGTTTTCTTTTTTTACATATGTAAGATGCTCATTGCTGCCTAATATGACAAGATTAATGAAAACGATCTAAATATCAGTAGAGAGTACGTGTAAGAAATTTACAAATGAGAATATAAATGTCAACTTCTATTTATTGTTACTTTTGTTCGTGTTTTTTTTTTAATTTTTATTTATTTATGATAGTCACACAGAGAGAGAGAGAGAGAGAGGCAGAGACACAGGCAGAGGGAGAAGCAGGCTCCATGCACCGGGAGCCTGATGTGGGATTCGATCCGGGGTCTCCAGGATCATGCCCTGGGCCAAAGGCAGGCGCTAAACCGCTGCGCCACCCAGGGATCCCTTTTGTTCATGTTTTATTTTGAAACACCTCTGACACATTTGATGAAAAAAGGATCTCATTCATTTTTGGGGAGTGCTTATTACTGCATGCCAGGCACTTGGGCTGCATTGTCTGATAACCGTCTCTAGGAGCTCTCATATAGTTCTTCCAATTTAAATTAATAAATAAAAGTAAAAACTCACTTCTTCAGCTGCACTAGCCATATTTTCCATATTGAATAACCGTGCTTAATTACATCCTACCGGGCAGCTCAGAGTACAGAACATTCCTGCCAACCCTGAAAGTTCTGCTAGACGGTGCCATATTGTGCCATCCTGTTTCTGTTGCGCTTTAAACTGGACACTAAGAAAGTGGCAGCATCAGTCTTAAAGTTCTCTCCATTTGTGCTACAGGCACCAGTCTAAGCTTCAGTCTGAGACTCAGCTTGGGGTCTGCTCTGACCCCCAGATCATCTTTGGCTGTGTTTTACGGGGTCTGGGACTCTGCCCTTCTAGCACAGCATCATCATTCTCAGCCTACCAATTTCACATCTGGCCTCTCCCTCTCTGTCTCCTCTTTTCCAGGTGATCCGCCAGCTAATGAAGAAGGAATTTACCCTGGAGTTCTCCCGGGACAGAAAGTCCATGTCTGTCTATTGCTCCCCAGCCAAATCCCGGGCTGCTGTGGGCAATAAGATGTTTGTTAAGGTCAGAAATCAGAATGGGCCTCAGTCCCCTTCTTCTTCCTAATCTCAGAGCCCTCTCCTATCCCTGCTCCCTGTCACTGTGGCCCAGAAAAAAGACCGTAGTCTCTGAAAGCTCTCTTGGTCTCCTAGGGCGCCCCTGAGGGGGTCATTGACCGCTGTAACTATGTGCGAGTTGGCACCACTCGAGTGCCGATGACGGGGCCGGTGAAGGACAAGATCCTGTCGGTGATCAAGGAGTGGGGCACTGGCCGGGACACACTGCGCTGCCTGGCCCTGGCCACCCGGGACACCCCCCCAAAGCGAGAGGAGATGATTCTGGACGACTCTTCCAGGTTCATGGAATACGAGGTGAGCAGCGAGGGGCCTCCCATTGCCTCAGAATCATCTGCCGCCCCCCTGCTCCACCCATGTCATTCCTATTGCGTCACGGGCCCTGGAGTCCCAGGAAAGGACTTAGAATCTGGAAAGAGTGTCAAGAATCATCTAGTCCAAGGCTGCTCTGCCTGTGGTCGTGGACTTGTCCCGGATGAGGTGAGGCACTTGTAGCCAGAACAGAGACCCAGGTGGTAGCTGGCCATTCTTGGTTCTGCTACATGTTTCCGTAGTGAGACACCCCTGAGATGAGAAGCGGGGCATAGACCTGCATTCTGGTGCCAGCACCATATCTTATGGTGGACAGGCTTTCCAAATAGCACCAAAGTCCACCACTTCCTTTTCTAGATGGGACCCAGTGGCCCGGCAGGTAGCCTGGATTTGCTCAGGGTTATAGGCCAAGGTAGTGGCCCCACTGAAAGCAGAAATCACTGCTCTAACTCCCAGCTCCAGTTCTTTCCTTGAAATACAGGCGGTCGCTATCTACTCTGGGCCTGGCAGCGCCAGACCTGCAGGCACGCATGTGAACACGGAGTGTCTCCTGCCCCTGGTCTTATGGGACCCCGCTGAGATGTGCACACCAGGCCAGGGGCAGCTTTCTCCCCATCTCCACCCCCAACCCCCTGAGCTTCCTCCCTGGCTTACTTCCAAGTCCTTCCCTGACCCCGTCACTCTCTGCTGTCTCCTCAGACGGACCTGACATTCGTTGGTGTGGTAGGCATGCTGGATCCACCACGAAAGGAAGTCACCGGCTCTATTCAGCTCTGCCGGGATGCCGGAATCCGCGTCATCATGATCACTGGCGACAACAAGGGCACAGCCATTGCCATCTGCCGGCGGATCGGCATCTTTGGGGAGAATGAGGAGGTGGCGGACCGAGCCTACACAGGCCGGGAGTTCGACGACCTGCCCCTGGCAGAGCAGCGGGAGGCCTGCCGTCGTGCCTGCTGCTTCGCCCGCGTGGAGCCATCCCACAAGTCAAAGATTGTGGAGTACCTGCAGTCCTACGATGAAATCACAGCCATGGTGAGCGGACAGAGGGGCTGCGTGGCTGTGGGGTAAGGGGCAGTCTCTGCCCAGAGCCCCTTGATGGGAGGGTCTCAGGAGCAGGGGGGCAGGGGGATCAACTCCCAATGAGGGGTAAGTGCAAGAGTCCACGCTCCACCTTCTCGTTCTGCCCTCAGACAGGTGATGGAGTCAATGACGCCCCTGCCCTGAAGAAGGCTGAGATCGGCATTGCCATGGGATCTGGCACCGCCGTGGCCAAGACTGCTTCTGAGATGGTGCTGGCCGATGACAACTTCTCCACCATCGTGGCTGCGGTGGAGGAGGGCCGTGCCATCTACAACAACATGAAGCAGTTCATCCGCTACCTCATCTCCTCCAATGTGGGCGAGGTGGTCTGGTGAGCAGCCAGGGCAGGCCCCTGCAGGAACCCAGGGCCGGTGGGTGGGGGTGGGGGCCGGTGACCACAGGGCCAGGGCCAGGCCAGACATGTGACCACCTCTTTCTGGCAGCATCTTCCTGACCGCTGCCCTGGGGCTGCCTGAGGCCCTGATCCCTGTGCAGCTGCTGTGGGTGAACTTGGTGACTGACGGGCTCCCGGCCACGGCCCTGGGCTTCAACCCACCAGACCTAGACATCATGGACCGCCCCCCCCGGAGCCCCAAGGAGCCCCTCATCAGTGGCTGGCTCTTCTTCCGCTACATGGCAATTGGGGGTGAGCAGGATGGGAGCCCCACCCTTCCCAACCCTTGGGACTAGCCCCCCCTCTGGGATACCTGTTCCCCTAGCACAGACACCCCATGGGCCGTCTTCCTCAACAAGCTATTGATGGCCATGAGCCCTCTTGACAATTCCTGTCTTCCCAGCTGGGACCCCAAATTCCATCTTCTCTCTACCACAGGCTATGTGGGTGCAGCCACTGTGGGAGCTGCTGCCTGGTGGTTCATGTATGCAGATGACGGGCCTCATGTCACCTACAGCCAGCTGGTAGGGAGGACAGAGGAAGGAAAAGGGTGGGGAGCAGGAGGGAGGCATGGAGGCTTCTGTGGGATGCCACTTTCTCACTCCTCCCCCTGCAGACTCACTTCATGCAGTGCAATGAGGAAAACCCTAATTTTGAGGGCGTGGACTGTGAGATCTTTGAGGCCCCTGAGCCCATGACCATGGCCTTGTCCGTGCTGGTCACCATCGAAATGTGCAACGCTCTCAACAGGTTAGGCCTGCCCACCCACCCCGGCCGCCTTCCAGGGGCCTCTGTGTCCTCCCCCTTCCTTGCTCTGCTCACCACTACTTTCTTGTGCTGTCCCCCACCCTGGCCTCTGCCCGGCCCTTTGCAGCCTGTCTGAGAACCAGTCCCTCCTGCGGATGCCCCCCTGGGTAAACATCTGGCTACTGGGCTCCATCTGCCTCTCCATGTCCCTCCACTTTCTCATCCTCTACGTTGACCCTCTGCCGGTGAGCCTTCTCTGGGCCAGGGACCACTGTTCTGCACCCCACAGGGAGCCTCTGTGGGTGGGGACGCAGACAGAGGGAGGAAGGGTTGAGGGGGGTGGTGCCGGAACCCTGGCCCCCTCCCAGAGAGGAACACCAGTCCTCACCACCTCCACCTGCCCTTGCAGATGATCTTCAAGCTCCAGGCCCTGGACTTCACCCAGTGGCTTATGGTCCTCAAGATCTCATTTCCAGTCATTGGGCTTGATGAGATCCTCAAGTTCATTGCTCGGAACTACCTGGAGGGTAAGCCTCAGCCCTCCTCTGAGCCATGTTCGCCCCTGGCCCCCCACAGGCCCTCCCTCTGCGCTGCGAAGGTGCCCGCCCCCCTTCCTTTTCAGCAGGGTGCTCTGGCCCTGAGAGGACCAGCGTCCCTGCCCCGGGCCCCCACGTCCCTGCACCTTTGCAGGTGCCCACAGCCTCCTTAGCCTTTCTGGCCCTCCACGCCCGCCTCTGCCCTCCGTAACTCTGTCTCTCTGTCCTCTCTGGCCATAGGGTAACCCGTTTCCCCTTCCTCCATCTTTTTGAACCGTGTCACAGGTATCGCCCCCTTCTCGCCCTCGCCCCCAGCTGCTGTGCCCCCCGCGCGTCCTCCTCTCCCCCCCTCGGTGGCATCCGAGGTCACTTGCGCTCGCTGCTCCACCCGGAGCCGCTGCCGCCACTGCCACGCTTCCCAGTGGGTGGGCTGCTGCCCTCACCCTGTGCGGTCAGTGCCGCCCCGCCTCGGACGGCACGGTGCCTGCTGGGCTGCGCTGCGCTGCGCTGGCTGGGCGCTGAGCTGTCCGCTGCCTGGGCTGCAGTGCTGGGGAGGAGTGGGGTCTGGGACACAGGTGAGTGTGTGTGGGGGGGAGCTGCAGCAACCCTCCAGGTGAGTGTGCCAGGGGAGAGGGGACAGAGAGCCTGAGAGGGACGTTACCTCTCCCCTCCTGCCCCCCCTCACTCCACTTCATCCTCCCCTTTCTCCTTCAGATCCAGAAGATGAAAGAAGGAAGTAACCAGTCCTTTTGCCCCTTCTTCCCCACCCTGATAGTGATGCATCTTCAGCCAGAGCTGTGGCACAAACTACCATGTTCCCCTCCACTCCGACATTTTTCTGTTTATAAACATGATGGTCCCTTCCACTTTTGCACCCTCAACACCCCATCTTCCCTTCTGCTCTTGTAAAACCTCCCCTCCCCAACCCCGTGGGGCTTGCAGGGACAAGGTGACGGATTGAGCTGAGCTGCTTATTTATTGAAAATAAATGACAGAAAAGTCTGGTCTTGCCTCCGTGCGCATCTTGGGGCCTGGGTGGGGCCCTGGGGGGACAAGCATCTTAGTGTCATGCAGTCCAGAAAGCAGCTGCCTGTCCCAGGTGCACGTATGGAGGGACTGCTACCACAGGCCAGAGGCGCCCAGCCACCGCTTACAGCTTGGCTGTACCTCGGGAAGGGACAGTGCCATAACAGGCTGTTAGTCCGGCTGGGAGGGGGCCAGTGGCAAGAAGGTTGCGACCCAGGAGGCAGCATGGTAGCCAAAAGCCACAGGGTGAAGCCTGCACCTCTGGTGCCTGGAAGGGGCTGGGACTCCCACCCAGGTGTCATCCTCGGGAGCAGAAGGCCAGCCACCGCTGGGAGGAGGTGCTGCAGAGACAGGGCAGTGGAGGCCCCATCACCTCAAGCCCGGGCTTAGAGGGGATCAAGCCTCTATCCTGAGACCTGCAAAGCCCAGGCCTCTCAGTTCAGATGTGGGGAAAGGCAGTCTCCCCCAGGTGGGTGGGTCCTAGCCTCTCAGGTGTCCTGGATGTCCCTGACATCCCTCAGGGGCGCCTCATCCATGATACTGCGCACTTGCTCCAAATTTTCTGCCTGGCGGATCCGTTCCAGGCGCACCTGCAGGGTTCAGTGAGGGAGGAAGAGGGCCCTTGGTGGGTAAATGCAGCCCCCTCCCATCTGCCAGGCCTCTAATGAGGCAAGGGTCCCCACCTTCCCCAAGCCACGGTGAAACTGGGATTCAAGGGAAGAAATGGGTCCTAAGAAAGTGGCCTGACCAAGGGTGGGCAGGGCAGGTGGGGCTGACACAGGGAGTGTGGAGGGACTGCTGCCACAAGCCAGAGGCTCCCAGCCACCAGTCTCAGCTTGGTTGTGCCTCAGGAAGGCACGGCACCATAACAGGCTGTTAGTCCAGCTGGGAGGGGGGCAGCAGCAAGAAGCCTGGGACCCAGGAGGCAGCATGGCAGCCAAAGCCACAGGGTGAAGCCTGCACCTCTGGTACCCGGAAGGGGTTGGGACTCCCACCCAGGTGTCATCCTTGGGTGGGTCCGGGGCTTTACACATCCAACAGAGACCTGCACACAACAGTTTGTTTTGAACAAAGCTCAGAGGATAAAAGGATGCCAGCCTCAGGAGGAGGAAGAGGATTCCCCTGATTGGGGGACTGTTGTAGGACCTAGGATCAGCCACCTGGACCATGCCAGCCCAATGGAAAGGGGACACACCGTACCTGCAGGGCCTGAGACAGTCGGACGAAATCCCTCTGCACCTGTTCACTGGTCTCCAGCTCTGCCTGCAGCCGCAGCACCTTTGCCCTCTGTTCCGAGAGCAGGTCTGTGAGCTGGGCCTGGGGGGACAGGACACAGGGGTGGGGCCTTGTGCCACATGGGAGGGGGTGCAGCCGGAGACACAGGAGGTCTGGATGGGGGAGCCCCTTCCACACCATCCCTGGCTCTGACCTCTTCTGTGAGGCCAGAGCCCCACCCGGCCTCCTGGAGACAGAAAGGACAAACGGGCCCACTGAGGGTCCCCACACTGCAGTCCCTCCCGCCGTCACAGAGTCTGGCTCCAGAGCCCAGCCTCACCTTGCTCTGTTCCTGCTGGACCCGCTCCATCTCCGTCCTCAGGCTGCACAGGGAGGCTGGGAAGTCAGGCAGGAGCCAGCTGTCAGGCCCACGCCCTCTGTCCCTCCCTCCCTCCCATTCCGCCCCACCCGGCAGGGCTCTGGCGGTACTCACCCTCTAACACCTCTGTGTGGAGAGAAAGAGAGAGAGGTCAAAGCTCCTCCTCACACAGGCTCCTCCCTCTCCCCTCCTGGCAAGCCCAGGTGCTCCCCTGTGGGGGAGGTCAGCCTCCGTTCCTCCTCCCTTACCTGTCTCCTCCCGCTGCACCCTCAGCTGCCCCTCCAGGCTGGCCCTGGCTGCCGTCTCCTCCTCTAGCGCCTCCCGGAGTGTCACGATCTCAATCCGGAGCCGCTCGGCCTCGTGCTCCCGGGCCTGCTGCTGGGCCCGTGCCTCCTGCCTTGTGTGGTGCACCAGCTGCTGCAGGTCCTGGAGGGGAGCCACCATCCCAAGGGTGGGGGAGAGGAGGAGGGGAGGGAGGGAGGAAACTTAAAAGGGAAACCACCAAAGTGCTCAACACAAGGAGTGGGGACGTCCAGAGATGGCCACCTGGAGGACGAGCCCAGGCCCCGGTGCCGGTGCCCAGTGACAGTCCCGCCCAGTTCCCTAGAGCAGGATGCCCCTTTGTCATGCTCAGGACACAAAGGTCAAAAAAAAAAAAAAAAGAACACAAAGGTCAGTTTGTGTTTGGGCAGCTGTGCAGGTGTGAAAACAACACCAAGAAAGAGCAAGGCAATGGCAGAGGTCAGGACAGCAGACACAGAACCAAGGACCGCAGGGGTGCATGTCAGGAGGCAGACGTGGTGGTTCTCAGGGTGGGCAAGGGTTCTAATGAACTCAGTCAAGGATGACAGTTTCTTATAAACCAAGACAACGATCAACTCCATTTTGTGGATCTCACTTAAAAATAACTAACCAACCAAATCACTGCTTCTCTGTGTCACACATTCTGCTAACTCATCTTCTCTTCACACCAAGGCTGGGAAGGGGGTACAGTCCCATTTTTCAGATGAGTCGAGTGAGTCGGTCAAGGTGACACAGCTAATACACAGCGGCCCGGGGTGAGTCCCTGAGTCCCACAGTCCCAGGCCAATGCCTTTCTGTGTGTGGAGGGAAGGGGCCAGAGGAGTGGCCCTTGGGTCCTCAGCACCCACACTCTGCTTACCGGCACCGAGCTGGGCAGCGAGTTCTCATGGCCCTCATCCTGCTCCAGACCCCAGGGGGCTGAGGACGGCGGCTGCTCAGCCCGGAGTCCTTGGTTTTCCTCAGTCAGCTTCTTCACCTTGTGGCTCAGGCACTTGTGTGAGGTGGCCAGCTCTGCCTGGGGATGGACAGTCAGTAGGATGGGATGATGGGGACCAGCTGTCACCAGTGCCCCGTGAGGCCAAACCCTGAACCCTCCTCCCGATACCGCTGAGGGCCAGAAAGCCCTTGCCCTCTGCTGAGAAAGGAAGGATCATACTCTATTAAGTACCTTTGACCACCAAGCTCTTTTTTTTTTTAAGTAAACTCCATGCCAGTGTGGGGCTCGAACTCACGACACTGAGATCAAGAGTTGCGTACCCCACCGACTAGCCAGCCAGGCGCCCCTGACCCGCAAGCTCTTTTTTTTTTTTAATTTTTATTTATTTACGATAGTCACAGAGAGACAGAGAGAGAGAGAGAGAGGCAGAGACACAGGCAGAGGGAGAAGCAGGCTCCATGCACCGGGAGCCCGACGTGGGATTCGATCCTGGGTCTCCAGGATCGCGCCCTGGGCCAAAGGCAGGCGCTAAACCGCTGCGCCACCCAGAGATCCCCCGCAAGCTCTTTATGCATGCTCCCCGATGGCCTGGAGGTCACAAGTGGCAGGCCACTCCGAGTGTTTTATTTGTTCCATGTGTTTTTTGTTGTTTTTTTTTTTTAAAGATGAAATTAGTTATCAACTTTAAAAACTGGGAGACAATACAGAAGTACCCAGGTTTCTGGCTTCTGTTGACAAATCAGAAAGTGTGTTGGCATCGGGCTCACATTCCCACGTGGCTCCCATCACAGAGCCGAGGGACAGCAGAGCCCTTTGCGAGCCTCCCGGCTTCCGCACTGCTCCTTCCAGTCTACACCTGGCCTGACTCCGGGCTTGGGGCACATTTGATTTTGCAAGCCTCACTCATGACTCTGCAAGCGCAAGCGAGGTCCTGCCATCTCTATTTCAAGGAGGCAAGGCAGAGGCTCTGAACTCGTGGGATCAGCTCAAGATCACAGAGCTGGTATGTGGTGGGCCCCCTAGAACTCCTGCTCCAACCACAGTGCCTGGTGTTTGGAAACATTTTATGCACTGGGCACCAAACTCCAGGGTGCAGCTGGAGTGGCTGGAGGCGGGCGGGGCAGGACAGGTGCCTTGACCTTCCTGGAGGCCCCTCTCAGCCAATTCCCGTCACACACTCCGGTCCCTCATGCCCCGGCCTCTCACCATCTGTAGCTGAACCCGCTCCTGGGCCTGGCTCACAGTCCCCTGCAGGGTCCGCAGCAGCTGCTCTGAGTTCTGGACCTGGGCCAGGAGTACTTGCATCTGTGGGTAGGAAGCAAGGGTGAGGTAGGGGCCAGGAGGCAAGCAGCCAGGGACCCTGCTGGGACGGTGGCAGAGCGGGCCCCACCTGCTTGGCGCAGTCTTCATTGCTCCGTCTCAGGCCCTCCTGCAGTTCGTCCCGCTCCTGGCTCATGCTCTCCAGGTCCTTCTGCAGCTGCCGCCCCTGCCACGGATGCCAGCCTCAGTCTCAGCCTCCAAGCGGAGGCCTGCACTCCTCACTGGGCCCCTTGGGGCTGCTTCTGCATCACAGGGGCTAGGCGGGGGTGGGGGCACAGCTTCCAACTGGCCCCCCTGCTTCTGTGGCCTGAGCCCTGGTTCTAGCTCTGGGTGTGGATGCAGCAGGTGCTCAGTGAGCATCCGGGGAAGAGGAGGATGTGTGCCCCTGGGTGGGCTGCTCCGCCCCCTCCACTCACCTCTGTTTGCAGCTGCTCCCACTGGGTGTCGGGCACGAGCTGGTAACCAGGAGGGGGCAGGTAGATGCCCTCGGGGACCAGGGTGCCCGTGGACACCAGAGAGGCTGTCTCCTCCTGCTCGGGGCTCAGGCCCTGGCGGCTGCGGGGCAGGGAGGTGCTGCTGGCCCCACCGCCGAGGGAAAAGGAAGAGATGGAGGCACTGTCATCACAGTTGTGGGCGAAGGCTTCAGCCGCTGCACCGCCGTCTCCACTCAGCTCCTCGAGAGGCTCCAGCGGGGGCGATGGGTCCCGGGACAGAGTCAGCAACTCCGTGGAGCCGTGCAAGGAAGGGGGGTGCCGGGGACGTCTCTAGGGGAAGGATCAGGGAGGAGGCTGGGGGGCCAGGGTCCTGCAGTGCCCCCTCTTCCCGCCGTACCCCCTGGCCGCCCCCTCACCTGGATCTCTTGAATCAGTTCCTCTGCCCTGAGCAGTTTTGCCTTCAGCTCCTCAATCTCTTGCTCCATAGGCAGCACAATCTCCCGAAGCTTCTCCGAGTCCTCATGGGCCTGGAAGAAGGGGGTTAGATGGTAGCAGGCCCCCCCCATCTCTAGACAACTGGACCCCTCAGGTCTATGCCGAGCCTTCTCTCTAAGCATGTCAACCCTTCTAATCCTCCCAAGGAGGTGCTGTCCATCCCCATTTTAAAGATAAGAACACAGAGGCTCTGAGAACTTACACGACTTGCCCAGGTCCCACAGGAGGCAAAGGGGCTGAAGTCATGACCATCTGCCTGGTGCCCATTCACTCATCATCCTTTCCTTCCCCACCATTCTTTTTCACTTGTATTTTTTATCACAGGCGCTTACATTTGTAGTTGAACACATGCCCTAAATTCTACACCACCATCTACATTTTTCAGCTTCCCTGTAACTAAGCATAGTCACATGACTCATTTCCAGCTAATGAAATGTTAATGCAAACTTCCAGGACAACTCCTTCAAGGGACAGGGTGTGCTTTTCTTTACTCCTCCTCCTCTTTGATGCTTAGACTGTGGACATGATGGCTGGCACTCCAGCAGTCATCTTGGACTGTGAGGCAATAAGCTACCCATGGCAATACAGTAACATAATGGAAACCTGTGTTCCTGATGACTTGTTAAGCTAACATCATTCCTGGAATGTCTATCTGTGGATTTTAAGAAAAATAAACTTCTATCTTATTTAAGCTACCGTTGATTTGGGTTTTCAAATCTCATCCTAACTGATATGTCCTTTACTCCCATCACCCCCGCATTGCTGGCCATTTCTTTTTGGTCTGTTTTCAGGTTTGGGATCCTGGTGAACTTGCAAAGCCAATGGCCTCTGGCCATCTCTACCTGGATGTCACACAGGCTCCTCTATTCAAGTACAGCCAAGCACTTACAACGCTGTTTATCCCCCTATGGGCATCAGATCACCTGCCCAGCTGTCCAAGCCTGAAATCTGCCAGTCACCCAACCTCTTCTGATCCATGCCATTTCTACCTCTTGAATCACTCAAACACCTGTCTCAAGGAAGCTCAGTTTAACCCTCCAAATCCCTTCTGTGAAAAGTTGCAACAGCAGGGTAAGCCTGAATGGCCCAAATAAAACACTTCTGGTCCCGTCCGAAGTCCTGGAATACACGCTCTGCGGATGCCCGTGCACTGGGCGGACATGGCCGATGCAGGAGATGGGTGGGGACTGACTGCCCGAACCTACGCCTGCTGTCCTTCTGCTCGCTGCACTAGGCTACTGCTCGGCAGGGCCCTCTCCCTCACCCACCGTGGAAGTGCTCCCTAGCATCACTGGCAATGCAAGCAGCAGCCTCTGCTGGGAAGCCGTGGGTTGCAAGCCTCCTTTCTCAGGCTCCTATTTGGATCTTTGTGTTTCTATCCAGGCCATCTTCCCGAGCCTCTGCTTCCTCCTGGCTTCCTCCTGCATGAAATGAGGTAAGCACCTACACTACCTCACAGGGCTGCTCTGAGGATCAAATGAGGTAATGATGTGAACTTGTTTTGAAAGACTGAAGTCTGGGAAATCAGTTCCCTACCACGTCAAGGGGACACCGATGATAAAGGCGGTGATAAGCCACAGAGATTAAGAACAAGATTTTTAGAACCAGACTGCCTAGATTTTTAAATTCCTACTCTGCAGGCCACCTGGGTGGCTCATTGGTTGAGCATTTGCCTTTGGCTCAGGTAGTGATTCCAGGGTCCTGGGATCGAGTTCTGCAATGGGTTCCCCATAGAGAACCTGCTTCTCCCTCTGGCTATGTCTCTGCCTCTCTCTGTGTCTCTCATGAATAAACAAAATCTTTAAAAAAAATTAAAAAACAACAAAAAAATAAATCCCTCCTCTGCATTTTATATGTATAACCTGGGAGATTTACTGAACTTCTCTGAACCTTGCCTTAGTCATCTGTGAAATGGGCCAATGAGGAAAGCTTGGAGACAGATCTGTCAAGCACTGTTCTCAGGGCCTGATGCACAAGTGCCGTCATTAAGTGTCAGGTCCCTCCCCCTTACGTGATCTCCTTCATTTTGGAAGCAAACAAATCGAGCCATCCTGCCAAGAAGCAGTAAAGCCAGGACCTTGCCCAGTACAGAGTCAGTATGTGACACACGTGGAATTATTACTGGGTGCCCTGCTCCCCACCATCTGGGAATGGGACTCCAACAATCCCTCTGCCTCGTGGTCACCTTGGCTGCTTCAACATCTTTCCAAATCCTGGGGAGTGTGTGTGTGTGTGTGGGGGGAGTCACCCTAACCTTTTCCATCTGCTTCTCCAAGGAGTCCAGGGGGTGAGCCCGGGACAGCAGCTGCTTCAGGCGCCCCAGCTCCCGATCCTTCTCCTCACAGTCCTGCTGCTGTTGCTGCCGCTCCTGCTTCAGGGAAGTGATCTGAGCTTCATAGCTGCTGATGGAGTCTGGAGAGGTGGGGAGGGCAGAGGAGAAAGGGTCAGCGCCCTGGCTCTACCTGTGGGTGACGATGGGGGGGGGCTCTTTATCCCCATCGCTCTCTGCGAGGCCGTTTATCAGAGTGACGGAGGCCATGGGCTTTGTGGAGAGATGGCCCTGGGCCATCGGCGTCCTCAGCTGCGAAACGAGGACACTAACGAGTACCCCACCAGCTTGTTGGCAAATGAGATGACATCTGGAAGGTGTTCAGCCCTCCTCCTGGTACACAATAAATGAGGAAGATATGATCTCTATTCTCATTGCTATGTACCAGTAACGAGCAACCTCCAATAACAGTAGTGAATTTTTACTCTGGGCCAGACTCTGAGCTGGGTTCCGGAAACAGAGAAATGAATCAAACACAAAGGCTGACACCAGAAACCCACATTCTGATGGGGAAGGCAGCTGTGGGAACAGCTACAGAGGAGCATGATATACAGCTCCAAGAGGACCATTCTCGGGCTTGTGGGTCTCAGAGGAGGAGCTCTCCAGTCTGCTTGCCTGGCCAGGAGAGGACACCGGCAGGCAGTGGAGGAGACAAGAGACAGACTAAGTCACAGGACCAGCCTGAGAAAAGGCTCAGTGGGGAAGTGGATGGTGTATCTGGGGCAGGCTGGGCATGCTACAAGAGTTAGAGTGAAGGTGCCTGAGGAGAGATGCCAGAAAGGGGGGACAGGGTGGTAGTGGATGGCTCCCGAGGAGCCATACCAAGGAGTTTGGAATTTGTCCTACAGGTTAGTGGGAGGTGGAGGTGATGCTGGGTGGCACAGGGCCACTTTTTTTAAAGATATTTTTTTGAGAGAGAGTACGCACGTGTGAGTGGCAGGGGCAGAAGGAGAGAGAGAATCTTAAGCAAGCTCCACTCCCAGCATAGAGCCTAGTGCAGAGCCCAATGTAGGGCTCAACTCGAGACTTGACTTCACGCCCATGAGAGAATGACCTGAGACGAAATCAAGGGTCAGACACTTAACTGACTAAGCCACCCAGGCGCCCCCTAAAGTTTCTTTTTTTAAGTCATCGCTCCAACCAATGTGGGGCTCAAATTTACAATCCCAAGATCAAGAGTCCCATGCTCTACCGACTGAGCCAGCCAGGCGCCCCACCACTTTTTATTTGCATAATTATTTATTTTAACATGTACTAACATTTGAAGTAAAGATTCTCTTTCCAGACTACCTGGGTTCAATCTTCTGCTTTCTAGTTGTATGACCTGGGACAAGTTATTTAACCTCTCTGGGCCTCAAAGCATCCCCTGCAAAATGGAAACAGATACTAATTCCTACCTCATGGAGATTGTTATGCAGATTAAATACTCATAAAGTGGTGTCCCTGGCTGCCTTAGTCAGAAGATCATGCAACTCTTGATCTCAGGGTTGTGAGTTTGAGTCCTAGGTTGGATATAGAGATTACTTAAGTAAATAAAATTTATTTATTTATTTTTTTTAAATTTTACTTATTTATTCATGAGAGACACAGAGAGAGAGAGGCAAGACATAGACAGAGGGAGAAGCAGGCTCCTCACTGGGAGCCCAATGTGGAACTCTATCCCTGGACCTGGGATCACACCCTGAGCCAAAGGCAAATGCTCAACCATTAAGCCACCCAGTCGTCCCAAATAAATAAAATTCATTCATTCATTCATTCATTCATTTATTTAAAGATTTTATTTATTCATTTGAGAGGTACAGAGATAGCAACAGAGATAGAGAGAGAGAACATGACCAGGGAGGAGAGGGAGAAGCAGGCTCCCCGCTGAGCAGGGAGCCTGATGCGGGGCTTGATCCCAGGACCCTGAGATCATAACCTGAGCTGACGGTAGACACTTAACCGATTGAACCACTCAGGTACCCCCAAATAAATAAAATTTAAATAGAGAGTCATAAAGTATTTAACTCAGAGCCTGGCACATAGTAAGTGCTCAACAAATGTTAACTATTGGGGTACCTGGGTAGCACAGTCAGTTGAGCATCCAACTCTTGGTATCAGCTGAGGTCGTGATCTCTGGGTTGTGAGATCAAGCCCCAAGTGGGGCTTCCTGCTCAGTGGGGCGTCTGCATCTTCCTCTCCCTCTGTGCTCGCTCTTGTCTCACTTTCTCTCAAATAAATAAATAAAATCTTAAAATAAAACAAATAAATGTTGACTTTTATTATTATTATGACTACAGGTATGCTGCATTTTTCGAAAGTTCACATTACACCACTTCACTTTTACAAAAATCCTATATTAGTACCTGTTTTTACTAACTAAAAGAAACCAAAGAGGATTTTCAGTTTTGCAAAAAAATGGCAAAAGGTGAAAATGGTGGTTAGTGCTTGTTTTGCAGGGAGCCCTCAGAGGCAGTGCGTACCCCGAGCAGCCACAGTGGCACTGCCACGCCCCTTGCCAGGGCACTACACTCAGCCTCTCAGCATCATGGCCTTGAACTGTGTGAGCATCTTGATTTATTTTATGCATTCATGAGCAAAATGGGTCGTAAAGTATCAGAAAAGGGTGGTAAAGCATCAGAAAAATCGTAAAGTATCAGGGGTTATTTTTTAGATCTGGGAATACTCAAAAAATTTTCATAAATTTTCATAAATTTCATAATTTACCATAAATTAGTGATAATTGTGCCTTCACCTTCATTTTACACGCTATTTTGGTTTAGAAAATTTTCATAGGAATGCTTGAATTTTGGATAGTGGGGGAAACCGGCATTATTATCATTTAGGACACAGCTTCTCTCATACGGACAGGAAGTTTCTTTTCTTCATCATTATTTTTTTAAGTTTATTTATTTAAGTAATCTCTACACCCAACATGGGGCTTCAACTCATAACCCTGAGATCAAAAGTTGCATATTCCTACCAACTGAGCCAGCTAGGTGCCCCAAACTTTTTCTTTTTCTTTCTTTCTAGATTTTATTTATTTATTTGAGAAAGAGAAAGAGAGAGAAATTCATTTATTATGAATAAATAAATAAATTAAAAATCTTTAAAAAAATTAAAATAAAGGGATCCCTGGGTGGCGCAGCAGTTTGGCGCCTGCCTTTGGCCCAGGGCGCGATCCTGGAGACCCGGGATCGAATCCCACGTTGGGCTCCCGGTGCATGGAGCCTGCTTCTCCCTCTGCCTGTGTCTCTGCCTCTCTCTCTCTCTCTCTCTCTGTGTGACTATCATAAATAAATAAAAATTTTAAAAAAAATTAAAATAAAATAAATGTGAGGGGTGGAGAGGGGAGAGAGAATCCCTTTTTTTTTTTTTTTTTTTAAGATTTCATTTATCTATTCATGAGAGATACACAGAGAGAGGCAGAGACACAGAGGCAGAGGGAAGAGCAGGCTCCATGCAGGGAGCCCAACGTGGGACTCGATCCCAGGTCTCCAGGATCATGCCCTGGGCCGAAGGCAGGGGCTAAACCACTGAGCCACCCGGGAATCCTGGGGAGAGAGAATCTTTTTTTTTTTTTAATTTTTATTTATTTATGATAGTCACACAGAGAGAGAGAAAGAGGCAGAGACACAGGCAGAGGGAGAAGCAGGCTCCATGCACCGGGAGCCCGATGTGAGACTCGATCCCGGGTCTCCAGGATCACGCTCTGGGCCAAAGGCAGGCACCAAACCGCTGCGCCACCCAGGGGTCCCCCAGGGAGAGAGAATCTTAAGCAGACTCCGTACTCAGCACAGAGCCTGACGTGGGACTCAATATCGCCACCCTGAGATCATGGCCTGAGCTGAAATCAAGAGCCAGAGGCTTAACCAACTGAGCCACCCAGCACTCCCAAAAAATGGGTCTAATTTAAAGAATAAATAGTAAGTAGATAATAGAGTAAGTTGTATGAGGAGATAACCATGGTGCACAGATGGTATGTGGATGCCTGCAGTGTGGGAAATACAGACCCAGAGAAGTCTGGAGCCAGCAGTGGTTGTGAGAAAAGGAAATGACATGATGAGATGGGAATTTTAGGAACTTTACTGTGGAAGCCAATGTCAAGGCCAGACTATGGGGCCAGACCTGTGAGAAGGCTGGGGGCACGCTCCAGGGGAGTTATCCAGAACCTCACTTCAGCAGGGGCCACGGAAACAGAGGAGTGGGAGAGGGCTGGAAGCAATTTCAGAGACTAGACCAGAAGGGGGAAATAACAGCATTGGCTAGCGGGGGGGAATCTGGGGTATCTGGAGCTGGTGCAGCTCAAGGACAGAATGGAAGGGAGGACAGAAAGTCTGAATATGTGTGGGGCAGTACAAATGTACGAGTGCTTGTGGAAGGAAGGAAACCAGAGGGTTAGACTCACAGAGATGGGGCCCAGGGCTGAGTCTGAAACCCAGAGGCTTACATGAGGCTGGTTCCAGGAACTGAAAACTTGCCCATCTTTCAGGGTTGATCAGTCATCAGTGAGGGACCAGAAATGACACCAGTCAAGGGAACAGGTAGGAGCTCAGAACTAAACTTAGTTGGAACCCAACAGAGCTGCTTCTAGCAGGGGCAGCACCTCTATGCAAATCAGAAAAGGACACCCCTTCCTCTGGGCCCTGAGGCCTGCCTCATGCTAGGCAGCCCCACTAACCTACCCCACAGCACATCTGTGCCCTCTGATCCCCTCTTATGGGGCTGCCTCACCTTTCAGGATGGCCTGCAGCGAAGCCACCTCCTCTTGGCACTGCCGCTGCACTGCAGCCACGGCCTCGGCCTTCGTGCTCTCGCTCACCTCCGCCACAGCCTTCATGGTCTCCATTTCTGCCAGGGCGCCTGCCAGCTCAGCCCGCAGCCGGCTGAGCTCTGACTCGGTTTCAACCTCTGCCCCGTCTTGGGGTTGGGGGTCCAGGGCTGCGGAGGACAAGGATCAACCTTTTTCCCCATCACTCCCAGGTTCCCCTGTACCCCCAGACTCTCAAATCTATAAGTACTGCAACCTAGCGCTTGCGGCCACGGTCCTCCCACCCCCACCTGGCCCCGCCCCGCTCACCTGGCCCCGCCTCCTTCTCACCTCGCTCTGCCACGTGCTGCTTGGAGCCCCGCCTTCCCCCTCCGCCCACCTCTTTTCCCAGACGAGACCCCGCCCTTCCAATGGCCCCGCCCCCTCCCCCACGGTGCCGCCTCTCACCTGCCGAGGGCCCCCTCGACGGCCGGGCCACGCCCCCTCCTCGGTGGCCGCAGGCCCCGCCCCCTCCACCAGACGGCGTGGCCCCGCCCCTTTCCCCAGTCTCCCCTCACCCCCCCATCCGCCCGCTCCGAGCTCGGCCCCGCCTCCGGCTCCACCGCCCCTCGCGTGCATGGACGCGCCCTCACGTACCGGCCCCCGGCCGCCGTGGCCAGCCATCCTCGCCCGCGGCCGCCGGCGCAGCCGCCGCCATCGCCTCCGCGCAAACGGCGGGTTCCAGCACTCCCCGGTGACGGCGCTCACCCCTTCCGGGTCTCCTCGGCTGTTTCCGGATCCGCTCGGCTGTTTCCGGATAGGCCCCGGGCTCGAGGCCCAGGCGGGAGTCGGGGCCCGATTGCCGAGCCCGGGCCGAAGATTTCCGAGTCGCAGCCCGAGCCCAGCCGCGGGCCCACGCCCCGCCCCGCCCCGCCTTCTTTCCTGGGCAGCGCTGTTCCAGAAGGACGCTTGTCCTTCAAACCCTCCAGAAGAAGTTCTTTCATCAAAGGCCTTCTGGCATTTCCGCGTGACCTTGGAGGGTCTGCTCAAGTTACACCTTCTCCGGGACGCCCGCCCGCCTCAGCCTAAAGGGGGTGAAGCTTCGCGGTCTCTCCCGAGCCCCGCAGCCAGCTCCTCGATGGTCCCCTGACCCCCTTCCGCCGGGGCCCGGCTCGCATGACAGCGAGTTGTGGCCGAGCCTGCCTGCACCTCTGCCCTGGTGGAGCGTCCCTCGGGGCAGGGCTGCGTCGGCTTCACTTTTCAGGGCGCAGGAGTCCCGCGTAGTCCGTTCGAGAAGTCGGAAACTTCCACGTCCCCGCCCCCACCTTGATGCTCAACCAGTCAGGGCTTCCTGCTAATCCCCCCCTCCCCGCCCCGCCGCCCTTTCCTGGGCCTCTCAAATCCCTCCTCTCCTCCCGGGCCCCTGCCCTATATCAAGGTCTCATTATCTGTGAACTTTCCAACAGGCGACCTGACATCTTCCCTTGGACGGTGACAGGCAGCTCAAACTTAGGTCTAGGATCTTGATTCTCATTCTCCCAAGCCCGTTTCTCCCTCTTTGAAGTACATTCCAGGAGCCTGCAAGTCCTGTAAACCTCTACCTCCAAAGGACTGAATTTTCCAGAAGGTGTTCCTTTTTCTTCTCCAGTACTAACGCCATCTCTCTCCTAGACTTCCATAACGTCTCCTGTTTCCCTGTGTCACCTTTTGGCTCCTTTAGTTAATTCTCAAAGCGTTTAGAGTGATCTTTGCAAAAACATCATATGTCAGCTTAAAATATTCTGGTTCAATGCACGGGCAAAGGACAGGAATAGACCTTTCACTGATGTCACAGATGGCAAATATGCGCAAGAAAAGACGTTCACAGTCATCAGCCATTAGGGAAATGCAGATTAAAACCACAAGGAGTTATCACTACACACCTACCAGGATGGCTAAAATTTAAAAAAAGAGTGATAATACCAAATGCGGGTGGGTATGTGGAAAAACTGGATTTCTCTTATATTCCTGGTGGTAAATGTAAACGGTATAGCCACTCTGGAGGTGCCTGACTGATCAAGAGAATGTGACTCTTGATCTTGGGGTACCGAGTTTGAGCCCCACATTGGGTGTAGAGATTACTTAAATAAACAAACTTCTAAAAAACAGTTCCTAACAAAACTAAACATGACCTTACTTGAATACTAAACGTTTCCCCACCTCAGAAGTCACCTTCCTTCCCTGACCATCCTGTCTCAAGGAGCTACCTCTATCACCGATCCATCATTAGATAACTTCTCACCATTTGAAATTGTTTACTGATTAACTTGCTTATTACCTGTCACTCTTTGCCCTTCCAAGTCCCCAAAACTTGAATCAAAACTCTATGAAGTGTCTTGTCTCCTGCTATTTCCCCGGAACCTAGCACAGGGCCTGATTACAAAAAAAAGGTGGGCGGGGGTGGGGGGCTGGGGGTGGGGGGACACACCTGGATGGTTTAGCTGTTGAACATCTGCATTTGGCTCAGGGTGTGATCCTGGAATTCCAGGATTGAGGATCTCTGCAGGAGCCCACTTTTCCCTCTGCCTGTGTCTCTGCCTCTCTCTGTGTTTCTCATGAATAAATAAATAAAAATATTTAAAAACAAACAACCAAAACATAGTAAATAAACATTTGGGGGGCAGCCAGGTGGCTCAGCGGTTTAGTGCTGCCTTCAGCCCAGGGTGTGATCCTAGATGCCCTGGGATTGAGTCCCACGTCCGGCTCCCTTGCATGAGGCCTGCTTCTGCCTGTGTCTCTCTGCCTCTCTCTCTCTCTGTGTGTCTCTCATGAATTAATAACTAAAATCTTTAAAGAAAATAAAATAAACATTTGATGAATAAATAAATGAATGAAGAACAAACACTTTGCTTAGTGATCTCTCTGGCCTCTCTCTACTCTCCCCCTCCACATTGCAGCCAGCCAGTGAGAGTTTTAGAAAATGCAAATCTGGCCAGATTAGGGGTGTCAGGCTGGCTCAGTGTGAGGAGCAAGTGACCCTTGATCTCCTGGTCAGGTTGTGAGTTCAAGCCTCATGTTGGATGTAAAGATTACTAAAATAAGTAAACTTAAAAAGAAATCTAGCTAGGTTAACTCCAGTTTATAAATCCCCAGCAGCTTACTGCCCATAGTGGCTGACTGCCCTAAGATTCCCTGTGTGTGAGGCAGAGTTTCTTGAAAAGGAGAAATGAAGATGATAACAGCTCCAGTCAACTATTAGGCTTGGAGTTTATCCTGAGACCCTGGGAGCCTCTGAAGGCTGTTGAACAGGAGACACACTTGACTAATACCAAGGAAGTTCCTTCTGTGTGGAGTATAGGTAAAAGCAAAAGAGGCAGAAGACAGCCCACAAAAGAGGCTGTTGATGTGGTTCTGATTGGAAGGGAAAAGTCCAATAAGAGGAGGAAGTTGATCCTAGAAATATTTAGGATGAAAACTGTGCTAGCCTTGGCAACTGAGTGCATGAGAGGGAAGTGAAGAGAAAGTTTTCTTTTGCTCTTCCTAATTTCCTTCCTTTTGTGGACGTTAAAAATAAAAGGTACTCTACCAGCGAAAACTGAGTTTATTTGGGAAGAGCAGAGACTTGCAACTCAGAAGAGGCAAGCACACCAAAAACCATAGGCTAGCCCAACAAACAGAGGAGAGGAATAAAACAAAACAAAACAAAACAAAACAAAGGAGAGGAATGTTATTTTAGGGAGAAGGAAGAGGAAGTCAGGAGGGGTTGTTTGGAAGAAAGTCCACTGGAGAAAAGCAGGAGTTCAGGGCGATGATAGTTTCTTATTGGCTGAGTTGTAGGGGTGGTCGATTTCTTGTAGGAGACCCAACCTACATCTTTCCTTGGGGGGGGCCTGTAACTGGTGACTGTTTCCCTGGAGGGCTTTTCTGTTGGGTCTGTAATTTACTGGGCTTCCTATTATTGGGGTAGGGTGGTACAGCATGAGAGCTCCCCCTCTGGCCTGGTTTCCCTTGAGGGACTCTCATGCTCTGATGGAACAGATACTTAATTGAGCACCTACTAGATGCTGGAGAGCGAGACAGGAAAGATCCCTGTTGTGAAAGAGCAAATGTTCTGCCGCAGGAAGCAAATGAGCGATGAACAAAGAAGCATATTTGGGAACCGGGCAAATGCTGGGAAGGAAATAAAACTGGGGTGTGAAATCAAAAAGTAGGTGGAAGGGAACCCTGGGTGGCGCAGCGGTTTGGCGCCTGCCTTTGGCCCAGGGCGCGATCCTGGAGACCCGGGATCGAATCCCACATTGGGCTCCCAGTGCATGGAGCCTGCTTCTCCCTCTGCCTGTGTCTCTGCCTCTCTCTCTCTCTCTCTCTCTCTCTCTCTCTCTCTCTGTGTGTGTGTGTGTGTGTAACTATCATAAATAAATAAAAATTAAAAAAAAAAAGTAGGTGGGAGGGGGTGTCAGGGAAGACCTCTGTGAGGAAGTAACATTTGAATGGAGGCCTGAGGGATGAAAAGGAGCCAGTGAAGCGGAGACCCAGAAGAGTGAAGAGCCGAGGGGACATCCAGGAGGAAGAGCAGCAAGGAAGTGTGAAGGCTTTGTTTGGAGTGATGGCTGCCCTGAGCAGCAGAGGGTGGAGGTGGGAACTGCAGCTGGGGGAGCCTCAGGCCTTTGGAGGCCATGGCTTGGAGTGTGTATTTTAGGCAGAGAAACAGCCACTCGTGTTCTGAGCAGGGGGTTGATGTGCGCTCATCAGGAAAGTGCCTATGAGGCGGCTGGAAAGCTAATGAAGAGAACTGGACAGATTTTGTTGGACGGAAGGCAAACGGGGTCCTGCGACCTCATCCTCTCATTCTCCAATGCCCCACTCTCCCCCTCTGGGCCACCCCAACCGACCAAAAGGAAGTGAGGGCCCTGCCAGCTGGAGGGTCCCCTGGGGTTTGCCTGAAGCAAACAGGAAGCTGCAGCCCAGCAAGCCCCGGGCCTGGGAACTAGCAACTGAGAGAGCAGATCTCCTGGGTGTCTGGCCGCTTTCCGAGTGACTGCAGAGTGAAAGACATGCAGAGAGAGCTAGAGGAGGAGGGAGACGAAGAGACTGACGTTGGCGGGGGGGTGGGGGGGGTGGGGGGGTGGCAGAGCACAGAGTTCAGAGTTGGGACCATTGGAGTTCTAGTGCACCACTAGCTCTTTTTTTTTTTTTTTTATGATAGTCACAGAGAGAGAAAGAGAGAGAGGCAGAGACACAGGCAGAGGGAGAAGCAGGCTCCATGCACTGGGAGCCTGACGTGGGATTCGATCCCGGGTCTCCAGGATCGCGCCCTGGGTCAAAGGCAGGCGCCAAACCGCTGCGCCACCCAGGGATCCCTTTTTTTTTTTTTTTTTTTTTTTTTAAGATTTTATTTAGTTATGAGAGACACAGAGAGGCAGAGGCACAGGCAGAAAGAGAGGCAGGCTCCCTGTGGGAGCCTGATACAGGACTTGATCCCCAGATCCGGAATCATGCCTTGAGTCAAGGCAGACGCTCAGCGCTCAACCGCTCAGCCACCTAGGCATCACTACACCACCAGTTCTTGTGTGATTTCAGGCAACACTTTGCCCTTTGGGGGCCTCAATTTCCCCATTTCTAAGTGGGTTCCTTCCATCACCAAAGCAGGGGCTTCCTGGGGGAAGAAGTGGGAGACGAAGGGGCATTTGTCACCAGGCATGTCTTGGGTTTGCTGTGCAGGAGCTCCAGGAGCAGCCTGGCTTGAGCTCTTGGCCATTGACTGATGCTGTCTCTCATTAACTGAGGGTCTACTATGTACCGTGCCCTGGGGACAAATGCCATAGGTACACCACCCTGTTTAATGTCCATACACAAGGGACGCCTGGGTGGCTCAGTGGTTGAGTGCCTGCCTTTGGCTCAGGCTGTGGTCCTGGAGTCCCGGGGTCGAGTCCCATATCGGGCTCCTTGCATGGAGCCTGCTTCCTCTGCCTCTCTGTCTGTGTTTCTCATGGATAATTAAGTAAAATCTTTTTAAAAACTATTCACAAACAAGATTTTTTAAAAATATATTTTAGTTATTTATTCTTGAGAGACACAGACATAGGCAGAGGGAGAAGCAGGCTCCTCAAGGGGAGCCCGATGCGGAACTCAATCCCAGGACCCCAGGATCCTGGATCCTGCCTTGGGCTGAAGGCAGACTGAGCTCAACCACTGAGCCACCCAGTGCCCCCCAAATGAGATTTTGCTAGCACTGTTATTATCCCCAGTTTACAGAGAAAGAAACCAGAGCTTAGAGAGATGAAGAAACTTAGCTAAGTGTTAGGCACAGAGTATTCTTTTTTTTTTTAAGATTTTATTTATTTATTCATGAGAGACACAGAGAAAGAGGCAGAGACATAGTCAGAGGGAAAAGCAGGCTCCATGCGGGGACCCCGACGTGGGACTCGACCCTGGGTCTCCAGGATCACACTCTGGGCCGACGGTAGGGCTAAACCGCTGAGCCACCCGGGCTGCCCAGGCACAGAGTATTCAGTCAAGTCTTCCAGATCTCAAAGGATGTGTGACAGGCTGGTTTTACAGAGTGGGAAGGAGGCCCAAGAAATGTCAGTCGAAAAAATGAATGGGGTGTATGTGTGTGTGTGAAGAGAAATGGGTTTAAAGCCTAGGGTTAAAGAAGGGAAGGGGAGAAGGAGAGAGCCCCCAAAAGTGGAGCCACTCAATTCAACAAATATTTATTGGGCCCCCTGCTATGCCCCAAGCACTGTCCCAGAGCACCGTGCATACAGTGTTGAACAAGACCAAGGCTCTGCCTCAAGGGGCTTACATTCTAGTGGGAGGAACAGAAAGTGAACAAGTAGACACACAAACAAGATCATTTCACACGGTGGTAAGTATCGGGATGAAAATAAAAGCGTGGCAGGGAGAAGACAAGTTTTGTGGGTCTAGAGGGGTGCATGGAGAAGGGGACTGGAGGTGTGACCACCCCTTCCTCCCTGGGGGACTGCCCGCTCGCCCGCCCCCACAGACGCTCATGGTTCAGTGCCCCCCAGGCCCCCGCCTGCCCCAGCATCCCCTGCGCGGCCAAGCTGGGTGCCCCGGGGAGTCTGGCCGCCATGCCACCTCCTCTCCTCCTCTTCTTCCTCCTCTTCCTTACACCCGAGGGAGTCAGGCCCCAGGAAACACTGCAGGTGGAGGCTAAAGGTATGTCCAAAGGGTACAGATGGAAAGAGTTGGGGCTGGGAACTTGGCTTCTGCTGGGTGCCCTCGGCCAAGGAACCCACCCTCTCTGGGCCTTCATTTTGTTATTTGCAAAATTCAGGGAGGAGTTGGGACTCTGAGAGCTACGCACTCCCAGCTGGTGGGGGTGCTGGGTAATAATCCAGTGTGAGGAATGAAGGGGGCGAAGGGTTCCTCTCCCTCTTTCTTTCTCCTCAGAGGGAGGCAAAGCTGAGCTGCCATGCCTCAAAGTTCCCTCAGATGGTCCCCTTGAGCAGCAGGCCTGGTTTCAGGGGGCTCAGTCAGAGCTGGGCCTCTGGTCACAAGGCCTGGGCATCCGGAAGGGGTCTCTGGGCATCCAGCTGTTCGTCTTCAACGTCTCTGACCAGATGGGGGGCTTCTACTTGTGCCAGCCAGGGCCCCCTTCCGAGCAGGCCTGGCAGTCCGGCTGGACAGTCAGCGTGGAAGGCAGTGGTGAGGTCTGGGCTGGGGCAGGGAGGGGCGGACGAGAAGAGGGAGGCCCAGCTCGGATGGAGGCCTTCAGCAGCTAAAACAGATTTGGGAGGAGGGGCTGGAGGGGCTGAGGATCGAGCATGCCTGCCGCTGGTTCCAGGTGGCTCCTCAAAACTCCTGTGGCTTTGTGACTTCAACACTGAGCTGTTCCATCTTTCACTCCCTCCTCTCTCTGAGTTGTCGTTCTTATCTCTCTCTCTGGGTCTTTGTCTCCATCTGTCTTTGGTTTTCTGGGTCTCTGTATCTCTCTGCCTTTCCTGGATGTGTCTGTATCTGGTTCTGGGTCTCTTCCCAGGGGAGTTCTTCCGGTGGAATGCTTCAGCCCTAAATGACTCAGGCTGTGGCCTGGGGAACCGACCCTCAGAGGGCCCCAAGCCCTCTTCTCGTTACCCCACAAGCTCCCAGCTGTACGTGTGGGCAAAAGACCACCCTGAGATCTGGGAGACAGACCCTGAATGTGCCCTGCCCCGGGGCACTCTGAACCAGAGCCTCAACCAAGGTAAGGTGCTGCGGAGATGCCGGGAAGAGAGGGTTTCAGGGATGAGGGGATGGTGATTGGGAATGGGAGGGTTTGCAGGGAGGAGACCCCAAGGATTACACTTTCCTAGCCTTGGCTCTCCCTGCCCCAGACCTCATCGTGGCCCCTGGCTCCACATTCTGGCTGCCCTGTGAGGTGCCCCCTGCCTTCGTGGCCAGAGGCCCCATCTCCTGGACCCACGTGCGCCCCAAGAAGCATAACATCTCCTTGCTGAGCTTAGACCTGAGGGAGGATGCCCCAGGCAGAGAGATGTGGGTCCTGGGCACCCTCAGCGGAGGGGCTGTTCTGTTGCTGCCCCAGGCCACAGTTCGAGATGCTGGTACCTATCGTTGTTACCATGGCAACAGGACCGTTGTGATGCAGCTGAAGGTCATTGCCCAGTCAGGTAGAGCTTCTCCCAATGGTGGGGCATCTGTGTGGGGCTCCTGGGAAGAACTGGAAGCCAGTCAACCTTGGCGCCCCAACCTGGGAGCTAGTACCAGACTCGTCCCAAACCCCAGCTTCTATCCTGACCACTGACGCCGCCTCTGTCCTCCCTTGTTTCCAAATCACTACTTTTCTGTGTCTCCTATCACTGGTTGCTTCTTCCCAACTGCTTTGGTAGGGTCTTCCTTCTCCTCCTCCCCGCCTCACTGTTGGACCTCTGAGGCCTCATCCTGTTCCATCAGTGCTCTCTCATTCTTGTTTACACACTCTTCCTGTTTGACCTCCTTTACTCCCATGACTCCTTAGGCCTCCACGCCTTAGTGACTTGATTCCAGGCTCCATACACCTCACCCCCAGCCATTTCCTGTCATTTGATGTCCCTGAAGTTTCAAAATATATAAAGTCATACTCAATATCTTCTCCAAGTCTTGTGGGTGTCTGTGTGTCAGTGAAGGACAGACACTACCACCTGCCCATGGGCCAAAGCCAGGAACCTGGGTATCCTTCCTTTTCCTCACCCACCCATCAAACTGGTCACAGTGCTCTGCCCTTTCTTACTCCCTTGATATAATCCTCCCATGCTACCGTAACCACAGTTCTCAAACTCAACCTCAACTTTCACTCTACACTTCACCCCAGTACCTTGCTGCTTCCTACCTCTAACTTTGTGAATGTGACTCTCTCCTTCACTTTGAACATGACTGCCCTTAACTGCAGCAGGAAGCTGATCTTCATGCTCTCCTGAATCCCAACATAGTCTAACTATAGTAATGGTTTTTTTCTGTAGATACTGCCCTAGGCCCCAGGTCAGGCTCTGGGGCATGGTCCCTGACCTCAGAGGGAGGGAGGCGAGCCCCCCTGGTAGCTTGTGATTTGGGGGTTGTGTCTTGTCCATGTCCCCAGACTTATGCCCCTTTGAGGTCTTGAGGCTGGGGAGCAACATGCCAGCCTGGGGTCCCTTCTCATAGCTGCTTCTCCCTCACAGTAAGGTACTGGCTGCTGGAGACTGGTGGCTGGAAAGTCCCTGCTGTGCCATTACTTTATCTGATCTTCTGCCTGGGTTCCCTGGTGAGCTTTCTTCATCTTCGAAGAGGTGAGTCATGTCCCCCAGCCCGTCTGCCCAACATACCCCATCTTCCCCAGGACCGCCCAGGACAGCTCACACCAGCCAGTCCGATAGCCACCTTTTCTCTTCCCATACCTCCCCCACAGATCTCCAGTCCAGCTTCCCACTCTTCTAACTGCCCTCCAAACTTACGGGGCCCCTTGGACTTTGAAGTCCCCTCCCCTCCATTGACCCAAGTGACCTCCCCCTGCCTCTTCTGATCACGCCCCTTCACTCTCACCAGCCCTGATCCTCAGGAGGAAAAGAAAGCGAATGACCGATCCCACCAGACGGTAATGACACGAGCGCCCCTGCAGTCTCTCATCCCTGCACTTTGGTTCAATGCTTTGCACTTACTGTGTCCTCCGCTCACCGTGTTATTCCCCACCTCTACCCCTGAAATACTGTCCAAGCTCCAAAGCTACGTCCTCTGTGAAGACCTCCTTGGAGTCATCCCAGACCCCTCTGTAAGCTGCGGCAGAACAGAGGAGCAAAATACACGTGACTACATCTTAGGCGCTGAGGGCCAGGCCTCACAGTGCAACTCCCGGTCCTCCTCCAGGTTCTTCAAAGTGACGCCTCCCCCGGGAAGCGGGGCCCAGAATCAGTACGGGAACGTGCTCTCCCTTCCCACGCCCACCTCTGGCACGGGTAGGAGGCACCGCCAGGTCTCTGACTCCGAGCTGAACCCCACCCCTTTTCCGTCACTCCAATCCCGGGGCGCCCAGCCTCCCCGAGCTCAGAGCTCCGCCTTCAGAAAAAAAGAGCGCACCCCGGGACGCGGAGTCCCGCCCAGACTCGAGCCCCGCCCCCAACGCCAGGGCCCGCCCCCAAAGCCCGTGGCCCCGCCCCTGGCTCCTGGCCCCGCCCCCAGGGCGCGGGACCTGAAGTCTAGTTCCGAGAGCCACACCTCCCCTGAGACTGAGGCCACGCCCTCGGCTGTGGGTCCCGCCCCTCGGCTCCGGGCCAGGAGGCGCACCTAGCCGCCCCGCCCCCGCCCCCGCCGCCCCGGCAACTTCCTGTCCCCTGCACGTTGACCCGCGGCATCCCTTCTCCCTCGCTACCACGCTCCTTCCTCCAGGACGCGCCCTGAGGTGGGCTGCAGGCTTCGGGGCCGCCGTCCAGTCTTACGGAAGCCCGCGCAGCGACGTCCCGGAGGCTGGAGCCGCGGGGTCTCGGAGCCCGCCGCCGGCAGGTGCTTGGGGGCGGGGGGGGGCGGGGGGGGGCGGGGGGGTCCTCCCCTGCGGCTCTGTGGCAGGAATGCTGGACTGGCGGCGCCTGGAGGCGGGGGGTCGGGGGCTGGTGACCCAGTTCCTATTCGCGTCCCTAAACCCCAGGCCCAGAAGAAGAGGAAGGGGAGGCCTATGAAGAGCCAGACAGTGAGGAGGGCTCCGAGTTTTATGAGAATGACTCCAACCTCGGGCAAGACCAACTCTCCCAGGGTAAGACCGCGCCCCCCACGGCTCCCCCACCTTCTCAGCCATGGACTGTGAGCCCACGCTGGACCCCCCTCCTTCTCCACTACCAGATGGTAGCGGCTATGAGAATCCTGAGGATGAGGCCTTGGGTCCTGAGGATGAAGACTCCTTCTCCAGCGGTAATTTGGGGTCCTTGTGGGGCCTCAGAGGCTTGGGAGGACCCAGTTGGCTGTGGAGCCCCTACAGGGCAGGAGTGATCTCTGGAGTTCTCTTCTTTCTGCAGCTGCTGAGTCTTACGAGAATGAGGATGAAGAGCTGGCCCAGCCAGTCACCAGGACAGTAGGTGTGTGTGAGGAGCGTCACATTAATGTGGGGTGTGTGGGGGAGTATATGTGTGACCTGGAGACCAGGAGGAATAACTTCCCACTCTCTTCTCTAGACTTCCTGAGCCCCCGTGGGTCAGCCTGGGACCCCAGCAGGGAGGCAACCTCTCTTGGTGAGAAATGCTAGGAACGGTCCTGCCTTGCACAGATTGAGTTGACCTGGCCTCAGCTCTGACTCCAGGCTCAGCCTCAACCTTGACCTTGACTCTAACCCCACGTGTAATTCTGGCTTTGGATGGATTCTAACACTAACCTCAACCCTAATCCTGATCCCAGTGTTTACCCCAACCCTAACTTATGAACATCTACTCAGATCCTAGTGGGATTCCCGCCTGGATTTTGACTTGCCCATCACCCCAGCCCCCATGCAAACCACAGCTTTGACTCTAGCTGTCTCTACAACCTCTTCATGGCTCTGACTTTGACTTGTGCCAGTTCTGTTCTTGACAATGATCATAATCCAACCCACATCTGACCAAACTGTTAACAAGGGTCCCGAATGTGATGCTGACCCTAATCACCCCTTCCTAGTACGGCCAGGCCTTCCGCCTCCCTCTGCTCCTTAGATTCCCTCTGTATCTTAGGCTGCACTTCCCTTCTCCAAGCCCAGCGTGGCTCTAGGCCTTCACCTCTCCTGCCCAAGCAGGCTCCCAGTCCTACGAGGATATGAGAGGGATCCTGTATGCAGCCCCCCAGCTCCGCTCTGTTCGGGCGCAGCCTGGTCCTAGTCATGAGGAAGGTGGGTGCCTCTGCTGCTGTCCCCTGTTGTCCTCTGAGGCTCACCCCCTCCCAGCCTACTTCTGGCTCTAGATGCATCTTATCTTTCCTGGTCCTAACCAGATGCAGACTCCTATGAGAACATGGATAATCCCAATGGGCCAGAACCAGCGTGGGGAGGAGGGGGTCGCATGAGCACCTGGAGCACGAGATGATTCCCTTCAGGTGAGCTGGGAACAGTCCTCTAAGGAAGGGGGAGAAAGAGGAAGATGGTAGGAGTGGAAGTGGTTTTCAGGGAGGGAAGGGGGAAAGGGTTCCCAAGCCTGGTGTTCAGGGGGCAGGCTTCTGGAACCTCCCCATCACCGTGTCTTCTACTTAGCCTGGGCCTCCTTAGGCTCCTCCTGAGATCTGTACCTGATCCTGAAATCTGGGACCCTAAGCAGACAGCGTCAACGTCTGGAGCAGCATTGCCTTGGATGTGTGTATCTGTGTGTGTGTATGTGTGTGCGTGCATATGTGTAAACCAATGAATCTTGGGCTCCCCTTGCACTCCTCCAATAAACTCAATGACTTTTTCCAATCCTATGACGTAAATGCCGTGTATGGGAGGGGAAGGGAAGGTGAATACTCCCATCCCCCACTCAAATCCAGCAGAGGAGGAAGAGCTGCATTCTGGGTACAGAGGGGCCTTTTTCCTCCTGTGGCTTGGCCTGCTCCCATCTCCCTCATTTGCCTGCCATTGCCACCATCCAGTTATTGGGTAATTGCTTATCCAGTGGTGGTGGGTGCCCAAGGAAGAGGAAGCCGTCCAGGAAGGGTGGTCATCACTGGCATTTACTGAACATCTCATATATTCTAACATCAATCAGCTCATTTGATCTTTACAATAAGCGGGATGCCTGGGTGGCTCAGCGGTTTGGTGCCTGCCTTTGGCCCAGGGTGTGATCCTGGAGTCCCAGGATTGAGTCCCTTATCGGGCTCCCTGCATGGAGCCTGCTTCTCCCTCTGCCTGTGTCTCTGCCTCTCTCTCTCTCTCTCTCTCTGTGTGTGTCTCTCATAAATTAAAAAAAAAAAATCTTTGCAATAACCTCCCAAGGTCATTGAGAACATAGGTATTAATCCACTTAAGTGCGTTGAGCACTTTTTTTTTTTTAAAGAGTTTATTTATTCATGAGAGACACACAAAGAGAGAGAGGCAGAGACATAGGTAGAGGGAGAAGCAGGCTCCATTCAGGAAGCCTGATGTGGGACTCGATTCCAAGTCTCCAGGATTGCACCCTAAGCCAACGGCAGATGCTCAACCACTGAGCAACCCAGGCATCCCAGCACTTAAGTATTTTATGTATATTTTATGTATATGGTATATATACACATGTATATATGTTTATATATGTTTGCTCATTTTATCTTCATAAACAACCCTATTTCAGAGATGAGTCTGAGGCAGAGAAGCTAAGTAATTTGCCCAAGGCTCGCCTGGCAGGGGTCGGCACTCAGTCTAACAGTGAAATTCCAGAGCCTATGCTCAGTCTTGACTCGCTCCCTTCCTGGTTGCAATTTTGTAGATGGGAAACTGAATGTAAGAGAGGCCCAGTGACATGTCAAGGGTTACATAACTGGCGCCTCACAGTACTAGATGTGAATCCAAAAATCCGGCTGCAGCTCTATCCATTGCACCTGCTATCTAATAAACTACTTACTTCTTTTTTAAATTTTTATTTCTTGAAAGATTTTATTTATTTATTCATTAGAGACGCACAGAGAGAGACAGGGACATAGGCAGACACGGACAAGTAAGGTACCTGTGGGGAGCCTGCTATGGGACTTGATCCCAGAATCCCAGGATCACGACCTGAGCTGAAGGCAGATGCTCAACCACTGAGCCACCTAGGTGCCCCTATATTTTAGAAAAGATTTATTTGGGGCAGCCCGGGTGGCTCAGCAGTTTAGCGCCGCCCTCAGCCCAGAGCTTGATCCTGGAGACCCAGGATCGAGTCCCACGTTGGGCTCCCTGTGTGGAGCCTGCTTCTCCCTCTGCCTGTGTCTATGCCTCTCTCTCTGTGTGTCTCTCATGAATAAATAAATAAAATAAAATAAAAAGATTTATTTGAGAGAGCGAGAGACGGGATGCCTGGGTGGTTCAGCGGTTGGGTGCTTACTTTCGGCTCAGGTCATGATCCTAGGATCCAAGATCGAGTCCCACGTCGGCCTTCCTGCGAGAAGCCTGCTTCTCTGCCCGTGTCTCTGCCTCTCTCTCTGTCTGTGTCTTTCATGAATAAATAAATAAATCTTAAAAAAAAAAAAAAGCGAGAGTATGAGTGGGGGAGGAGCAGAGGGAGAAGCAGACTCCCTGCTGAGTGCGGAGCCCAAAATGGGGTCCCATCCCAGGACTCTGAGATTATGACCTGAGCAGAAGACAGACACTTAACTGACTGAGCTACCCAGGCGCCACCAGAATTCCTTTTTTAAAAAGATTTATTTATTTGTATTTTGAGAGAGAAAGTGCACGAGCAGGAGGGGCAGAGGAAAAGGGGGAGAGAATCCTTAACCTGACTCCCTACTGAGCTCGGAACCCAACACGGGACTCCATCTCATGACCCTAAGATCATGACCTGAGTCCAAATCAAGAGTTGGACGTTTCACCAACTAAGTCCCCTGCCCCTCCAGAATTCCTTTCCTTAATGCACCAGTTCTTTTTTCATAGGGTCTTGTCCTTCAGAGACTCTAATCCTTTTTGATCTCTGAACCTTTAAAACTTAGTTTCTCTGTTTTAATACTATTATTATGTGCCGGGCATCATTCTAATAAGTGCTATACCAGTAGCATTTCTTTTTTTTTTTTTTAAAGACTCTTTCTTTCTTTCTTTCTTTCTTTCTTTCTTTCTTTCTTTCTTTCTTTCTTTCTTTCTTTTTCTTTCTTTCAGACACACAGAGAGAGGCAGAGACACAGGCAGAGGGAGAAGCAGGCCCCATGCAGGGAGCCAGACGCGGGACCCAATCCACGGTTTCCAAGATCATGCCTTGGGCCGAAGGCAGAGCTAAACCGCCGAGCCACCTGGACTGCCCTACCAGTAGCATTTCATTTTATCTTGGAGCAATCCTATGAGGGACAGATGCCTAAAATTATTCTCATTTTACAGCTGAGAGAAGACTATGTCACAGAGAACTTAAATACTTTGGTTGCTAACTGACTGTTGGTAACTTGCTTAAGCTCAATGACCCTCGGTTTTCCCAATTAAAGAATAGCACTAGGGAGGGGGCATGGCATGGTTACTGTTATCTGCATAGTGGATTGAATTTTCCCATGGTGGTGTCACCCGGGGAGGTTTCTTTGACCTCTTCGTGTTTTTCCTACCTGCCGGAGTCCCCTGAGTCCCCTGGCCCCCTGCCCATCCCTAAGGGCCAGCTTGCTTTGGCTTCTACCCCAGTCTTACAGGCAACACAGATTTCTGACCATTTGTGAGTTTCTCAGAGTGTTTCTCAGGTGTTTGTTACCAGAAGTTTAGTCAAAATGCAAACCCATACTTTGGTGAGCCTTGGGGTTCTGATTTCTCATGGTGACTTTCCCAACCGCTACCTGTTGGATGGCTTGCTTGCTGCAACCCAGCGACTGTGGATGGATTTTTTGTTTTTCTCTGTCTTCTGTGCCCAGAAGAAACAGCCTCTTCTCAGCTCTTAGCTTTGTACAGAGCACTCAGTTTCACTTCTCTGCTGCTCCTGGGGCCTCAGCTTAACCTCTGTCCCCATGTTGGTATTAAAACCCTAATCCTGGATCCCTGGGTGGTGCAGCGGTTTGGCGCCTGCCTTTGGCCCAGGGCGCGATCCTGGAGACCCGGGATCGAATCCCACGTCGGGCTCCCGGTGCATGGAGCCTGCTTCTCCCTCTGCCTGTGTCTCTGCCTCTCTCTCTCTCATTCTATGTGACTATCATAAATAAATTAAAAAAAAAATTAAAACCCTAATCCTCAGGATCCCAGCATCCCTGTGGACTGCTTAACTTCAGCCACTATTGCCGTTGTGGCTTTAATTTCCTTCTTTATTTCTGGCACTAGGAAGATTCGGTCTTGCTTTTGAGCTCAGAAATCTATTTTAAAAAGAGGAAAAAGGGGTGTCTGACTGGCTCAGTTGGTCCAGCATGTGACTCTTTTTTTTTTAAAGATTTTATTTATTTATTCATAGAGACAGAGAGAGGGAGAGGCAGAGACACAGGCAGAGAAAGAAGCAGGCATCATACAGAGAGCCTGACTGTGGGACTCGATCCAGGGTCTCCAGGATCACGCCCTGGTCTGCAGGCGGCGCTAAACTGCTGTGCCACTGGGTCTGCCCCAGCATGTGACTCTTAATCACGGGGTAGTAAGTTCGAGCCCCATGTTGGGTGTACAGATTACTTAAAAATGAACTCCTGGGTGGTTCAGTTGGTTAAGGGTCTGCCTTTGGCTCAGGTCACGATCTCAGAGTTCTGGGATCAAGCCCCACATTGTGCTCCCTGCTCAGTAGGGAGTCTGCTTTTCCCTCTCCCTCTGCCTCACTTGTGTGCACTCTCTCTCTCTCTCTTTCAAATAAATACATAAAATCTTTAAAAAAACAAAATCTTGATGTGCCTCAATGGCTGAGTCGGTTAAGCATCTGCTTTTGGCTCAGGTCGTGATCCCACGGTCCTGGGATCGAGCCCCGCATCGGGCTCCCTGCTCAGCAGAGAGCCTGCTTCTCCCTCTTCCTCTGCTGCTACCCATGCTTGTGCGCATTCTCTCTCTCTGTTTCAAGTCAATAAATAAATAAATAAATAAATAAAATATTTAAAAAAGAAGAAAGAAATACTGTATCTTGGATAGTGTATATTTGGAGTTTGGGAGGTGGGATATGAACTTCTAGAATTACCTTGGGCTTCCATTTTGGACACAGTCCCTGTGGCAAAGAAAAATTAATAAGAAATTCAGATCTAGCTCAGCATTCAAAACCCTACTTTATCCTTCAGCCAAAATAAGCTATTTTGCCATAATCCCTGCCATTCCCTATTGCTTTCATCTACCTGCTTTATTCCATTTCACTTTCCTGCCTGTGCCTGAAGCATCTGAGCACGTGACTCTGGGTGAAAGCTTCTTGCTTTCTTGAGGGTGAATCTATGTCAGTCTTTTCTATGCCCCTGGTGCCCAGCCAGGTGGTGGCAAAGATCAGGAGCTTCAGAAATGAGTGGGGAAGGAGGAGGGAAGGAGTGACTCGGAAAAGCCCTGAGAGGTGGACTGCAGAGGATGGAGCCCTCCTGGGCCACACCACCCAGAGAAGAAGCTTTGGACTGTGACTCCCAGAGAAGTCTCGGGGGAAGTTGAGAAACAGAGGTGTGCCAGCTCCAACCCACTTCTCTAGAATCAGCCTATCTGGGTTTGAATCCCAGCTCACCCCCTCTCTAGCTGTGTGACTCATGCTCTGTGTGCTGCAGACAAACATCTGTAAAATAGGGTAATAATTACACCTACCTTAATGAGTCTTAGATGTAAAGCTCCTGACACTGCCATAGTAAGCACTCAAAACAGTAGCCATTATTTTGATTTGGCATTTATTGGGGGGCCTCTGTGTGCCAGGAACCAG